TATAAAGGCATAGTGTTGGGTTAACTTTTATCAAATGAAATGTTTTTTGAGTAGTATGTACTTTATGTTAGTTACCTTAGAGAAAATGCTGTTTTAAAAATTTGTTGTGAACAGTTAACTACAATATGAAAATATGTAATTTCTCATACTATGTATTTGAGCTTAGAAAGAAACAGATATAGTAGTAGAAGCTCCTAAAAACAACAAGTTAAAATTTCATACTTTTATTAAATAATATCTTATAAAAAACAGAACCATGCTTTGAGAACATACCATAGTCACTATAACATTTATTGCCTTCCAAAAGTTAGTTCTTTTATTCTTATATTTAAATCACTTAAAGGACCTACTTCGATATTGGGATTGTAGTTTAAGATGCCAAAAATTTTGCTGATTTGGGGACAGTGTATATCCAGAGTATATATTGTTTACTTGGATGTAAAATTTTAAGAGCTACTACATGCTTTTATATAGGAAGAATGAATGCTCTATTAATTTTCCTTAATAGAGAACCATCTACTAGGTGTTTAGTGTACATGGTATGTACCTAACAATTTTAGTTAAATGTATAAAAATGATTCATATGATTTAATAATTTTTTAAAAAGAAAAAAGTACATTTTCATGTCAGTGAAATGGTTTACAATATTAAAGGTAACTCAGTGATGAGGAAATAGGTCATATTTTGTAGATTCCTTATATCCAATCAAGTTCTTTTATTTCTCTTAAATTAAAAAAAATTCCAGGCAAAATTAAAATTTGATAGAAGGCAGTTATGTGTTTTATGACTGTTCATTATGGATACTCAGAATCAATATGAGTCCTAGAATTGTAAAGAGATTTCTCACTCAAGATATTTTCAGGGCTGTGTCAGTTGCTAAGTTAATGAACATTATCACACTTAAAAGCTCAAGAAGTAAAAAGCTCTTTACATTTTATGTAAAGATAAACACCATTTACTCACCATTACATTTACAATTAACTTCGTACATTAGCAATAACTTTTGAAGTTCTATGTATGCAACTGCCAGGTCCAGTTTTTTTCTCAGAGATGATCACCACATTGAATCTCTTTATACTTTCCCATACATTGATATTCCTAAAGTGTATTTCAAAATGTATTTTGTTTTACAGGCATGAAATCATAATGCTATTTGGCATTTTTATGGTTCATTCATATAATATGTGACTATACATTTACTTTCACTATTCTAGTGTTTTTTTTTTTTTTTTTTTTTTTTTTTTAGAGGCATGCTTTATTTATTTGTTTGCTGGTTTGTTTGTTTGTTTTGTTTATACATGCACTGGGTACAGTCAGAAGCGCGGGAGGGTGAGAGAATTCACCAGAGCCAGAGCGGGGAGCAGAGCAGGCAGAAGGACCGAAGTACACTGCTGAGGGGAGCAGCGGGCGGCAGGAGAGGTCTGCACGCCATGTGGGACCCTCCTCTGGTGGCCGGGGAGCAGCCGGGGATCGAACCGGCGCCGCAGAGGCCGCGGGCAGCTTCGCAACCCAGCGCTCAACCGCTGCGCCACCGGGGAGGCCCCCTACTTTCACTATTCTATTCCATTGTATGAATATACCAAAATTTTTCCATTTCATTATCATGGTTATTTGGGTTGTATCTAGTTTTCTTTCTTCCGCAACTAGTGCAGTTGTGTGTATTCATTTTATTTTTTTGCCTCCTCGTGTCAAGCTACGTAGCAAAAAAATCAAGCTTCTGACTTTTTCTCCCAATCTGTTGTGTACTGAGGCTTACATAAAATGCAATAAAAATATCTCAAGAATTTCAAATCGCTAAACGATCTAAAATTTCTAGACATTCACACTTAATTTCTGTATTTATCTTATTGTGGATCTTACTTTGAATACCACTGTTTTAAAACATACCTGGCTGCCAAACCCCTAGTTCATGAATCTTCTACTTATGTAGACATTTTTTTCCCTCTAATATTCTAGTTCACATTACACAGTAGGCAATCTACTAGCAATTTATGGCTTTCACTTCTATTTATTTTCATTTCCTAATATGCAGGGAATGTCATACTAAGCCCTGCTGCTTTTAGGTAAACACATCTTTACCAAGTTTATTGCTTTTGGCAAATATATCTTTGATCATAGATACTACAAATAAATATGAGCTTAAATATAATACCTCTAACAAAGGGTTAATATCCAAAATATACAAGGAACTCTTAACTCAATAATAATAATAATAAACAACCTTATTAAAAGATGGGCAGTAGGGAGCCTCCCTGGTGGTGCAGGGGTTAAACTCTCAGTGCTATCAAGCTATCGCCAGCCACTGCCTGAGTTCAATCTCTGGCCAGGGAGCTAACCCACATGGCACAGCAGACCTCTCCTATCTTGCCCACTGCTCCCCTCAGCAGTGTATTTCAGTAGATCCACCTGTTCTGCTCCCTACTCTGTCTCGGAAGAATTCTCTTACCCCCTGAACCTCTTGCCAGTTCTTCTTTGCATAAATAAATAAAAATAAATCTAAATTTAAAAAACTTCTTAAATTAAAAAAAAAAATGGGCAGAAGACCTGAATAGACACTTCTCCAAAGAATACATACAGATGGCCAGTGTGCACATGAAAAGATACTATCATCTCTTACTAGAGAATTGTAAATCAAAACAGTAAAATATCACTTCACACATATAAGAATGGCTATTATCCAAAAGACAAGAAACAACATGAGTTAGAGTGTATGTGGTGAGAATGGAATAATTATACATGGTTGGTGGGAATACAAATTGGTGCATCCATTACTGAAGGTAGTATGCAGCTGCCTCAAAAAATTAAAAATAGAAATTCCATATAATCCACTTACCCGACTTCTGAGTATTTACCTGAAAAATACAAAAACACTAACTCAAAGAGATATATGTACCCCATCTTTATTGCAGCACTATTTACAAAAATCAAGGACTGGAAACAGCTTAAGTGCTCATGATTGACTAATGGATAAAGATGTGATGTACATATACAATGGAATACAATTCCACCATTAAAAAAAAAGGTGAAATCCTGTCATTTGCAATAATAATGGTTTAGAGGTAATTATGCTTGGTGAAATAAGCCAGACAGAAAAAGATAAAATGTATGATTCCACTCACATATGGTACATAAAGAAAACAAACAGATGAACTAAATAAAGCAAAAGCTTTTAGACTATAAGAGCGGGGCGGGGAGGGGGGTGGAATAAATTGGGACAAAGGGTCAATGGTGGGGTGAAGAATGGTGAACGTAATGTAGCAGATATACATGTTGATTCTCCATGATCCCACCTGAAACTTACATTGTAAAGCAATGTTACGTCAGTGAGAAATAAAATAAATAAAACTTAAGAGAATACTTAAGAGTTAATCAAGATCAACCTGGCAAGTACAAGTGAGAGAAAGCTATAATGGGATGAAGGGCCGAGGAGGAGTGAATTCATTAAGGGAGATGGTTTGCAATACAAGATGCCACGGGAGAGAAGCAAAAGAGTAAACAGAGGGGGGGAAATGTACTTAGTGAAGATTTTCGAGATCCCTGGGAGTACAGTTACCTCCCATGTAAGCAGCAGCTTCTGAGTAAGCAGCCTAGAAGTGATCTCAAAACATTAGGGAACTTTCTCAGAATCTGTAAAAGCTAATGTTGCTATTATAAGCAAGAAGCAGCATTACTTTATACCAGTATTTCTGAACCTCCTTTTCATATCACCTCCTTTAGGTGCTTTTTTAGACTCCTACCCTCCCATAATCCCTCCTCTGGAATTTTAATACCACAGATTTAGTGTATCTCTTTACATACCTTCATGCTTGGAGGGTCTCATACCATCTTGTTAATTTTAAGATTTTTTTTTTTGCTCCCCCCTCCCCAAGCATTTTCACCTTTTTGGGAGTGATAGGACTCTCATTAAGAACACATGACATGCTGCTGTACCTCCCACCTTAGGCACTCAATTTATATCTGTGGAGGAAACCAGCCATTCTTAGTTTATTTTTTTTCCCCAGTCATTTATAGGTACTGATTTTCTTTTACTTAAATGGTAGTATACTATACACACTGCCCTTCACTTCACTCTTTTCACTTAATAAAATAAGCTGAAGACTTGATATGTAATAAAGCTGCTTCTTATTAGTGGATGAAAATGCCCCATAGAATAGATATGCCATAATTTAGTCATCCTGTCCTGTAAGATATTTTGGTTTCAGACTTTTGTTATTATAAAAATACTGCATTAAAAAGATGAATGCATGAAATGAATATAAAGGCTCTTGTGATTAGACACAAGGACTTTTTTTAAGTGCTTTTGACAGAAAAACCTTATTGGTAAGGAAAGAGCACCACCTAGTGGCACTGGCTTAGGAGGGTGAGTAAAGATTCTTTGGAGAGCGGGAAAAGGGAGAAATTTGACTTCTGTTTCTTCTATACTTAGTACCTGAATAGGATGTTCTATGAATACTGTATTTTTATTCTTAACATTGCTTTTTTTTAAAGATTTGTTTTTATTTATTTATTTACACAAGCACTGGGTACAGTCAGAAGCACGGGAGGGTGAGAGAATTCACCAGAGCCAGAGCGGGGAGCAGAGCAGGCAGAAGGACCGAAGTACATTGCTGAGGGGAGCAGTCTGCGCGCCATGCGGGACCCTCCTACGGTGGCAGGGGAGCAGCCGGGGATCGAACCGGCGCTGCAGAGGGGCAGCTTCACAACCCAGCGCTTAACCACTGCGCCACCGGGGAGGCCCTGTATTTTTATTCTTAAGATAATTATTTTGAAGATTACTGAAGTTCACTGACTTTATTATGACTCTGAATTTCTCAGGCAGGTTGCAAAATTAACGAAATTGTCTTAAGATAATTTTTATTTTCACTTTCTCATACCTCTCCCAAAATTTAACCTATCTTAGATATGTGTAATTTAAAATGATACATTTATATCTTTTTATGCATTTTCTTATTTCTGGATTGTAACTAAATATTTTGTTGTTTGTGTTTTTTTTTTTTCAGATGATTCTTTGGGATTGGGACTTAAAGCAATGGTATAAGCCTCATCAGGTAAATATAAGTGTTATCACTAATAATTAGTTTTTGTAATGAGATTTTTTACATTTAAATTAAAGTTATATTCATAATATTTCTATGCTATAAGATTTTCTTCAATGTAAATAAAATAACTAGCATATGTTAATAAAATAACTAGTCATATGTTTATTCTATGCTTTACTACTTTCCAAGTTTTCTGAGATTTATATTATTGCATAGTAATTTATTCATTCTCATTCTTTTTAGTATTTCATTGAATAAATAGGCTGCAATTTTTCATCCTTCCGATAGCAGATGGACATTTGTTTTATTTTCAGTTTTTTGGCTATTGTAAATGATGCTGCTGGAACATTCCTGATTTTGGTTGGGTATATATTTTAGAGTGAATTGTTGGGTCATAGGTTATGCATGCATTTTTTCTGTTTTAGTATGTAGTTCCAAATTGTAGGTTATATCAATTTTTATTCAACAATTAGCAGTGTATGAGTTCCAATTGCTCCACATGCTGACCATCGCTTGATTGTGTCTATTTTAAATCATTTTGGTAGTGGTAGCTATGGAAGTTATCTCATTGTGTTATTAATATTTGCATTTCACTTATGACTTACAGGTTGGGGATCCTTTCATACACTAATTAGCTACTCAGATATCCTTTAGTTAGGTCTTTTGCTTATTGTTCTGATTTTTTACCCTTTACTTAGCAATTAGTAGGAGTTTTTAAAAAGTATTTTGGACATGAATATGTCTTCTCATAGCCTGTGGGTGATTATTATGTCTTTTAATGAAATACACTTTCACTGTATATGTAATCAACCATTTCCTCTTTGACTACTGATTTTTTTCTGTCCTATTTAAGAAATTTTTGCTCATCCCCTGTGTTGTGAAGACATTTTTCTGTTACCTCATTGAAATATTACTATTTTACTTTCCATTTTTAGGTCTGCAATACGTCTGGAATTTATTTTTCTGTATTGTATGTTTTATAGCTTGATACTTTTTTTAAACATATGGATATCCATTGACTTAGTTCCAATTATTGAAAAAAAATAAGCATTCTTCCTTCTTTGCACTGTAGCGTCACTTTCGTCAACAATCAAGTGATAATTCTGCCTGGTTTGTCCATCTCTTGACCACCACTTACAAATTGGCAGATTCAAACTTACTTCATTGTTCTCTCTGGGATCTTGGTTGGTCTTTAAAATGCTCCCTGACTTAATAATCCTAAATTCCAATTTTGGCCTCCCAATCTTTTGAGAAGACAGAAAGCTTTTACTCTGTTTTCTAGCTTCTTGATTGACCTGTTCTCGTTTTCTCAACCCTTGCCAGTGATAAATTAGCATCAAATTTCTTGAGGGAAAAAGTAGTCCAGATTGTGAGTCATTTCAGTCTTTTGACTTAGGTTCTTGTTCTTTCAAGCCCTAAGCCCTGACTGTTTGACTGAGCTCTGATGACTTGAAATGGATACTAGCTTTTCTAAACTACTGCTGGCACTAAGCAGAAGAGTTGTTCTGGTACAAATTAGTTACTCCTAGCTGAGAAATAAGGCCAGCCAGTTAAACACCTCATTTCTAAACTGAGAATAATACTAATTCCCTCAGAGGGCATAACAAATAATATTTTGTGTCTGGAACATAATAGCACTGATAAGAATGTGAGTTAATGTTAATTTCAATAATGATAAATACTAAGCACTTGTGAATTTGTAGTATGAGACAAGAGTTAACCAAATTTCACTCTACATGGTCAAATAGTAAATATTTTGGCATTTACAGGCAGTGTACAGCTGCCACAGCCTCTGTCTCCTGCTTCTCCCCTTCTCTTCCTTTTATTCAGCAACACTTTAAGATGCAGACTGTGTAGACTATTTTTAGTGCTCTTACAAAGACAGGGTTCTGCCAAGTATACGCCAATAGAAAATAAGAATTTAGGGCCTCCCCAGTGGCGCAGGGGTTAGTCGCAGCACAATCAACCTATCAGCAGCTACTGCGGCATGAGTTCATCCCTGGCCGGTAAGGGAGCTGCCCACATGGTGCAGCAGACCTCTCCTGTCTCACCCTCTGCTCCCCTCAGCAGTGTGTTTCAGTCAGTCTGTCTATTCTGTTCCCTGCTCTGTCTCTGGTGAATCCTCTCACCCACCCATACCTCTGACCTATACCCCAGATCTTGGATGCATAAATAAATATTTTTTTAAAAATAAGAATTTAAATTTAAATTTTTTAACAAAATATTTGAATATTCTATTTGATCTGGCATAAGTTAAATCATGTCACTCTCTTGCTCTCTACTCTATTTCAGCCAGAATATAAAAATTCTAACTACAGAGTTAAATGACTACAAATACATTCCTTCTTTCTACAAATACATTCCTTCTCTCCTCAGGCCTGATGGTCTGATACTTTCCCCTTTATTTTTCTGCTCTAACTGCACTGGCTTCCTTGTGATTTCTCAAATAAGTCAGGCAGGCTTTTGACTCTAGGTTTTCAGAACTTATTTATCTCTGCCTGAAATGTCCTTTCCCCATACTTCTGTTAGATCTTAAGATAAATATTTTCTTCTTACCCTCTCTGAGAGTTCAATGCCCTCCATCATTTGTTCTTTTTCTTTACTTGTTTTATTTGTTTTTACATGCTCAAAATTTATACTTCTCCATTGCCCATCTTCCATAGCCTAGGGTCTGTTGTCCTCAAAACTTTCATACCAACACTCCTCACCACCTTATTTTGCAAGTTTTTTTTTTAATATAGCTTTCTCTTATAATTCATGTTCTCTGTAATCACCATTTTACCACTTTTGTTTCTTTATTTATGCTCTTTACTTCTTGAAGAATGAGGTTTCCCTATACATTTGTTTCATTTTATTGTAAATTATTTTCCTGTAGTCTTTGTAAGTAAAATTCTATAGTTCAAATGGTATTCATTCCATACCATTTCTGTTAACCATTCAGATTAACAGATTATCTAATTTTTAATTATCAGATTAATTCAGATTATATCTCCCTTGCACTCATACCATTTTATCAGTCTTATCTCACTTTCCACAGTAACAATAGTATTTGTTGCACTTTACCTAGCTCTACAGTGCTTTATGTGCATGATACTATACAATGTATCATCACAGTTAGTTCTCCTTGCTCTTCTCTGCTAGGTACAATTATAAACTCTGGAAATAATGTAAAAGGTGACCAAGGGAGAACGCTGCTGAACAGCAAGAGGAGAGAGAACTAGCTAAGGGCCCCAGTAATGGGGGACAACATAATGATAGTGTTCTTTGTTCCTATGGTGTGTAGATTCCCTTCCTCACTTGGAGGTACCAGGTGGTCCAAACTGAGGAAGAACTTCTGCCCACTCCCTCTCACCCTCTCTTAGCACCAGCATCGCACCCTCTCAATTGCATCAGCAGGGGGAGCAAAAGACCTCTGTAAATGGCCTGACAATTAAATTGTCATTAGAACGATAGCCTGAAAAAGCAGACCAGAACCTGATGAGTGCTAAATATAAGCAGGGAGATGACCTCCTATGTGAAAGACTTTTTTAGAACCCAGATAGCACAACGTTGGTCCCAGACCACTGCAATAAAACTAGTAGTATCACAGTAAAGTAGGCAGGTCACAGGAATTTTTGGTGTTCCAGTGCAAATAAAAGTTATGTTTATATTGTTATGCAGTCCATTAAATATGCAATAACATATCTAAAAAAGTTCATAATTTAAAAACTAATGCTAACAATGCTAACCATCATGAGAAACTTCAATTGTAAAAAATGCAATATAGTGAACATTAATAAAATGATATTCCTATGGCCAAAATTAAAAATCACCTAGCATACCAAGAGCCAGGAAAATTACAGTTTAACTGGGAAAATATAATCAATGCTAATGCCAAGAGGAATCAGATTTGAAATTCTCTGGCAAGGAATTTTTTAAAATAGTCATAATTATGGTGTATTAATCAATTAAAAATGCTCTTGAAATAAATACATGAAATAGAACATCTCAGCAAAGAAATAAAAAGTAATAAATTATGGTTCTGAAAAAACAATAATGGCAATTTAAAACTTATTAATATGTTCAAAATAGTGGAGATGACAGAGGGTAAAATTTGTGAGCTTGACGCTAGATCTAAAGAATATATCCCATTTGAACATAGAGAAAATATATGGAAACAACATGAAAAGAACCATATAGGCCTAAGGGACAATATTCCTATCATCTGTGTCTGAGAAAGAAAGAGGGTGGGTTTAAAAGAATATTTGAACATCTGAAGAAGTGTGATCCTATAGCTCTGAATCATAGACTGTGATGTAAATCAATGTTAGCTTAATTTACAAAAAAAACAGTAAATGAATAATGACTGAAAGCTCAAATTTTGCAAAAGATGTTATCCTACAGATTCAAAGTGCTGAACCTAAATAGGATCAAATGCCAGCCCCCTCTGAACAATCTACTCTAAGACATGTCATAATTAAACTTTTGAAAACTAAAGACAAAGAAACTATCCTGAAAGCAACCAAAAAGAAATGACGCATTACTTATTGAGAAACAGCAACTCAAGTGACAGCAGATTTTTCATGTGGGTGTTGGAAAATAGGTGCTATTATATACAATTTGTGGAAGTACAGGGAGGACAGTTTTACAGTAATGATGGACACTTAACATGTTCACTTTGGTTCAGCAATTCAAGTTATGGGAGGCTATTTGTCGGAAGTATGCCTTATTATCTATAGTGACACATACAGAGAGGCATTTGTTAAAATGTCATATATTGTACATAAAGACTACAAGTAGCTCAGCTAGGCCCCAATAATGGAAACTTTTAAAATAAAAACTAATACAAAATAAAACTTAACGAGGGTAATATAGTTCAATGACTATTTAGGCAATTATTGGTCTATCATAATATCTCAATTCTAAAATGTGTCACGGATACTTTAAATAAACAGTAGCATGGCGAATTCATTAGTTTGAATAATTATGAATGCCAGACTCACCCAAATGTTAAGTTTTAAGTACAATAAAATAAACAAATGTAATATTCAGGTCACTGCTATTATCAATGAATGTGCTCATTTCAAATCATGGGATCTTTAGGTGAACTTCATATATAGAGAAAATAAAAACATTTTCATGTGAATACAGTGATTACTCTAAATTTTAAAGTATATTTCCTACCTATTTTTTAGAGCCCAACTTAATATTATCCTTCCCATGATGTTTTCTTTTAACACATCCATCAACTTGTATATTTACTCTTAACAAAATTATTTCTCTACATTCCACATGTAAGTGACACCATCCAGTCTTTGACTAATATGACATATACTACAAATGTTATCTCACTTACAATATTCTCCAATTCTGCCTATGTTTGTGCAAAAGTTACTGGATCTTTCTACCATGCCTGTTAAGTTGTAGAAATGCTGAGTCTGATATTAATTGCCAGCGATCCCTTTTCAAGAGAGGTAACTGCCTGAAAATAAAATTGGCAAAGAAACAGCTGAGAGATAAGAGGGAATCCTATATATGTTACTTTGTGCCCCTGAAACCAGCTATGTTGAAGCTGGTGTATACAACCCCTGTTTTGTATTTTCAGGTAAATAAGTCAATAAAGTCTTCTTTTCTCTCTATTATTTCTTTGAATGAATTCTGTGTTCCTGTCTCTCCCATTTCTGGAATATCCATGATTTGTATATTGCCTTTTCTCAGGAGTAGAATTAAGTCTCGGAGTGTTTCTTCATTTTTTTTTCCTTCATATTTTCTCTTTTTTCTTTCACTTGGATTCTTTTTGTGTTACTGTCTTCGAGGTCACTGATTCAGTCTTCCACTTGGTCTATTTTGGAAGCTATTCCATACCTTTCTCCATAATTATTTCCTCTAGTCATCATTGTACATACAGCAGCTCCATTATTTTCTTACTTAAGCTTCCATTTCTCTCTTCTGCTCATTAATTTTTTTCCTCAGGACATTCGCTTTTTTTCCCCGAGGTGTTTTTTTTATTGGGTGGGGGGTACCTCTGATAAACTTTCTGTGTTTTCATTCATTTTTTTAAATATCTTTGTCATGATGATTATCTAACTCTGTATCTACCTCCTGAAGTTTTTAGCTTTTCAGTTCAATTAACACTATCTCCTTCTAACTCTGATCAATTTTTCTGTATTTCTTATGTCACCATTTCCTATAATATTTTCGTAATGATTATTTCATTTTAAATACATTTATACTATATATGCACTAAATATATAATTTATATTCTTTATGTGTATTATCAGATTTAATTTTCACATCAGCCTTTAGTGAGATAGATGTTATTATCCCTATTTTACAGTGAAGAGACTAAAAAGTTAAGATGTTAAATAATTCACATACGCTGTTAGGAATAAAGGAAAGTTCACAATATCTGCTATCTACTTCATAAAATGTTTTGTTACATCATTTATGCCATGTCCACATAAATGAAAATTAATGTTTGAGTTAAATTACTTACTTAGATATTCTTGTATGGATGTTGATTTAAACTAGGTTAAATTTTCCTTAAATATTAAGTTTTCTGTGTAACAAATATATGATTTTATTTTTTTTTTTCTTTTCTAGAATTCTGGAGGTGGAAGTGGAGTTGATCTTTCTGTTCTAAATGAGGCACGCAATATGGTGTCAGATCTTCTGATTGATCCAAACCTTCCCCCACAAGTCATTTCTTCTCTCCGGAGTATCAGCAGCTTGATGGGTGCTTTCTCAGGTTCCTGTCGGCCAAAGATTAATCCTCTCACACCATTTCCTGGATTTTATCCCTGCTCTGAAATAGAGGACCCAGCTGAGAAAGGAGATCGAAAACTTCACAAGGTCAAAATACAGTAATCAGCCAGCCCTATTTATCACGTTTATTGATGTTTTCAAATTAAAACAGTTCCTTTGAATCTTACATTAAAATAGAATTTATTTTTCAAGGGCCAGCTTCTATTACAGTATGAGTTGCTTGGGACTTTAGAGGCAGTTAAAATCTCAAGTAACCCTAAACAAGTCTTCAGTTATTACTCTAAATAACATGGCTGTAATGAGCAGTTATAACAACTATTTATTGTTAATGTTGCTGTGATTGTTGTCACGAAGTAGAAAACAAGAAGCAAATTTAATTCAGGCTTACACAACAAACAAGGGGTCAAATCATGTCACTATTCTATTTTGTTTTTCAGAATCCAGTAATTGTTCTTGTTGAACCAGAAGAAATGACCAAATTATAACACCCACTTTATGAATTACACTGCACTCTTTTAAACTGATTTTCACATTTCTTTGTAAATCTTTATAAATCTCCAACACCTCTTTTATTCACTCAAGATTGCTATAGCCCAATAGGCATTGATTTTTGTATCCTTAAATATGGGAATAATTTATTTTTAAAAATCAGTGCTTCAAAATAGGATTTCCATTAGAAAATAATAATATCCTAAGTAGGCATACATTATGCTTGTTCAGACTGCCTTTACTTATTTCACTTGATTCTTTTATCAATACCTGTACGTACAAATATATAAAATCATAATTTGAAAACAAAAACATCATACATTCTAGTTTACTTCATTTGATAAAGAAACTAACCCAGAAAAGATGAAATTCAAATCAGCTAATTTTTTTTATTTTAATAGTGTACATAGAGCTTAGGAAAAATTAGTTTCTGGAGGGATTTTGATTATCAGTTATTTTCCTTTTGTTAGTTCTCATTATTAGGGTTTAAAAATGTTGAAAGATTAAGACTGATTAAGACAAAAAAGATTTCAAAATTATTGATCACAAACCTGGATTATAGTTAGATAAGTGATTCTTTCATTTTTAAACAGTATATCCAGTAGAACCTATATTGGTCAAAACCTAATAAACTAAAAAAATTTTTAAAAATCTAATTAAGTATAGTACTTAGTTTTATGGCATTTTAAAGTGTTCTACTACTAAGAATGTGGTTTAATCACAGGCATAAAAAAGGGAGAGTAATATATTCATCAATAAGATAACTGTAGTGTGTACTTGAATTAGTTTTCATTTGATATGTTGCTCTTCCTTTGTATTGTCCATCAATGTTTGATTTTAGAATAATTTTTAAAACAGTATTTAAAAATCTTTATCATAAAAATCAAACTGACATAGGTATTATGTTTATTACTGTTTTACTATGTAGAAAAGTGTACTGGTGCATTTAACAGTTTAATGATATTAAAATAAACAGGATGCCTACATATCTCAACTTTTGAACATTCAGTTAATCAAGTTTATCTTTCATTCTAGAATCTGATAAGAATAAGTCATATAATAAGGAAGTAACCCTTCTTTCTTTTTAAACTTCTCATGAAATTCTAATGTCTAATTCATTCATGCTTTTGGAAAAAAATATAAAAATCCTGATTTAACTCATAAAGGGCTAGAGCATTTATGAAAAAATGTTAGGAAAGGGAGTTAAAACATATAATTTAATGTAAATGTATTATCTATGTTAAGAACTAAGGAATATTAAATGGACCTAGATTATAACTATAGTTAATGATAAAGGCTCTGAATTTAATCATTAATTCAGAAGATTGCTGAGAATTCTGCAGATTAACTTCTATGTATATTAGCATAACCCTGAAAGTGTAAATGGTTTCGAATGCAGAACTGATCATCCCTAATTCTAAGCTTGTCCTTTGAAATTCTTTTTCAGGGTAAATTTTTCATACCTGCTATAAAATGTCAATTGTCTAGGAGTAAAATGTACAAAGGAAAAATGCAGTTAAATTTTTTGGAATTCAGAAATCATTTTTGTTGAAATAAGATAAATTCAGCAGTATAGAATGTAAAATTTGCAGCAAAAGGGTCAGATTTCCAGAATAAAATGTTCTGTTTCTCCTGTACATGTTAAAAAATGTACTTTGTTTTAATATTTTAAATGCCATCTTTTAATGTCACATATACAACATACTGAGGGGTGACAATTTTAACCAGTTTAAAATTATTCAACAGGGACTAAACAGTAGGAATAGTTTGCAAACTCCACAGCTGAGGAGGAGCTCAGGAACTTCAGGTCTGCCACTTATTGAACAGTCTTCGTCAAGGTGGGAACGCAATAATGGCAGAAGGCCTCAGCAAGAATTTGGCATTTCAAGGTAATTCCCAGAACTTTTTCAAGAAACTCTAATCTAAATGCATCCATTTTGTTTCTGTGAATGAAGTTTGAAATCATTCTAAAAGCACAACTGAGCAGTTCAAGTATTTTAGTATAGGAAAGCATGTGCAGTAATATGGCATAAGAGAGAAACTAATTTTTAATTAAAGCAAATAAACCCTGTCCCCAAAATAAGTAAGTTGGGTTCAAATCAAGCTGGGGCCTTAAAAAAACATGAACCAGGGATGAAGCTGAAGGAAACTGGGATCAATTTAAACAGAGTAGTAGGGAAACTTTTTAAATGGTAGAGAAGCCCATTACAGGAGCAGTCACCAGTCCAGTGCATGGTATCTAGAGGTGGGTCATCAGAGCAACTGATAATGAAAGGAAGAGCAAGTTCCCAGGGCTTATGTCAAGTTAGATAGAAGGTAGCAAGATTATTCAAACCCTGTTCCTGCTGGAGGACTAAGACTACTAATACATTCTATACTCTGTTGGGATTTACTTGCAACTAAGTAGTGGTAGTCCTACCAATCAAAGACTGTCAGTAAGTACAACTAAGTGAGAATTGGAAAATGTAAGAACTAAAGTCTTCTGAATGTAAATATACCGTTTTATCCTGATAATCACAAAGGATTCAATACTGCCTTTTAAACCCAGGAAACATCTTTTGTTTGAGTTAAAAGCTCCTATTTAGTCACCTAAAAAAAAAAATCAGAAAATTAGTGTAAATTTCCCTTTAATCCACTTTTATTACTCAGCTTCTGTACTTCGGTTAAATTATAGTTACACATTTGAAACAGTAGATGGCAGGATTGAATCACAGTTACTTATTTGATAAAATTTATGTTAACATTTCTATATGAAATATAATCAGAAAAACGTAATTTCACAGATTATTTTGTGATTGATTTGAATGTCTGTAATACATCTGAGTAGATGAACTCCTATTTTTATAATGAAAAAATTGGTAAAATGATATATAAAACAGGAATGGGTTTAAGTTGAAAAGTATAGTGCAGAAAAATAAACTTTGGTCCAAAGCTTGTTCAGAGTCTAAACTGATATATGGCAGCAGGAATGATGTTCAAACAGAAAATGTGACTCATATTTCTTAACCATAGGAAATATCATCTTGAATATAGTGTTGGGTTTAAGAAAGAATGATATGAATTATTCTGTTTTTAACCTCTTTACCACACTGAGGTAAAAGTATGCATTTGCAATTAAAGAAACATTTGATATATTGAGTTAAGGTCATTTTTGTTCTACTGCTTCAGATGATTCGTGTTAAAATAGAAATATGACCCAAAGAAAAGTAATCTTTAACTCTGAAAAGTGTTCATATAAAGGTAAATGTATGCAGATTCAATATATTAACCCTCATTAAAACAAAGCCATGTCTCATAAAAGGTTTAGAAATGTGAAGAATAAAGCAATTATCAAATAACAATTCCTTCAAAGAAATGAGATTAGATGTAATTTTTTCTAGTGTGCATAAGCTGCAGTTCCTCCATAATAAATTTCCAGGTGTAGATAGGGTAAGATGGGAATATGTAATGTATCTATAGACACTGTTCATTTTGAAATTCAGTCTCTGGATCAGTTCTGCTCAACAGAAATTTCTATTATGGTGGGGATATTTCATGTCTGTACTGTCCAGTACAGTAGTGGATACATGTTGCTATAGATCACTTGAATCATGTCTAATATTGGCTACGGGAGAGAATTTAAATTTGATTTATATTTAATTAATGTATGTGAAGAGGCATGTGATATCATAATATGATAATCATATTAGACATTGTAGCTATGGATCTTTAATGAATGGTGATGCTTGTTCAGGAAGCTATAATAACACAAAACTATATGACTTATGATTCTGGAATAATGAGACATCTTGATTGCATTAGATTTCTCTAGAACTGAGATCTTATAAAATTTTTTAGTCTTGTTTTGAATGCAGCTTTGAATTCTGAGCATAGTTTCTCTAACTGATTTTAAATGACCCTATGATTTAAACATCATTCCAATATTGAACCTTTCATTCCTTGAAACTGCCTGAAACCAAATTTCTTTTTTCTTTTTAGATTTATTTTTTTAATTTATACAATAGCTGGGGTATAGACCAGAGGCACGGGAGGGTGAGAGGATTCACCAGAGATAGAGCAGGGAGCAAAACAGGCAGGCGACCAAAAGCACTGCTGAGGGGAGCAGCGGGCGAGACAGGAAAGGTCTGCCGCGCCATGTGGGAATCTCCCTGGCCGTCTGGAATCAAACCAGCGCTGCTGAGGCTGTGGACAGCTTCACAGTGCTAGGCTCAACCCGCTGCACCAGCTGGAGGCCCTGAAACCAAATTTCTCATCTGTTACTGTTGTTCTGGCCCTTCCTGGCATAATGCTGCTATCTTTTAGATTAATGATTACTAACAACATTGATTGACGTAGAAAGCTTGGTGTTACCTTTACCTCTTGTTACCTTCCTCTGAAGCTGTCAATTGTCAAAATTATTTCTGAATCTCTTCTCTGTTCCTTCACATTTGTCACGTTGCCTACACTGTTTCATACGTTACTCCTTACCTGGACAATTAAATTATCCTCTTAATTGGTCTTCCCGTTCCTAATATCCATAATTACCTGATCCATCTTCTACCTTTCCAACAGAAATCTCCATAAACAAAACTTTGACTAGGTTTTTTTAGTCATTATGTTTTTGGACCCTTAGAAATGCCTGTGGGACAGTGCTTAAATTCTTAGGCTGGGATTCAAAACGCTGTTATTCCCTCATGACTAATTGGCATCCTTACTTGGAAAAATTAAGCCAATTAAAAGAGATGGGCAGTCTTGCAAAGAGTGAGAATGGACCTGAGGGGAGAAATCAGTTACTGTACAAAAATGAGCAACGATGTAAGAAAATAATTTTTTTGTTTAAAAAAGAAAAAATATATAAGTGAGAATAGAAAAATGACTTGGAAAACTCTCAGGTAAAAATAACAGGCTTGGAACTTGTGTTTGACTTTTCCTTGAGGTTTTCAGATATTTTGTTTTTGATTTAATTCCATTTGAAAATTCAGCTGAGTTATATTCTCCATATTTGTGTCAAGAGTAATGTAGAATTTAATTTTGCTTTTTTTCATGTTTGTTTGCAGAAAAAAATCATAAAGTATCATAAATAAACCTCATCATAGCTATAAGAGAAATTCAATGGAAGAAAAACACAAGAGAGAAAAGAAATAGTCTGACTTGAATAGCCTGTTTTCCATACCCTTAAGGGCTTATTACCACCTTTCATCTTAGAGGACTTAAGGTTTTAATTAATTATAGGGGGCCATTTCTTTACAATACCAAAAATATTTCTCTAACATCATTTCTCTATCTGAAACGACCATCAAGATTAACTATTTGAGTCACGTCCTTTCACTTATAGCAGGAATACAGGGGAGCCAAATAAGAACATCAGTGTAAAAAAATAATAACAGTACAAAACACAACAAAGCAAAAACAGACAACAATAAATCAGAGACATCCTGCAGGGGAGGAGGAGGGAGAGGGATCAGAGGGAGGGAGGGAGGGAGGAGCACGGGGTACTGAGGTGATGGTGCATGGGTACATTGGTGAAGGAAACTCTATGGGGACTACCACCCACTCAGGTGTAGTAGTGACATCCTTCTCCCGTGGGCCCTAGGGAAAAGTAATGTTTCACCTCTGAATTTTCTTAACATCTCTTTACCTATTTTTGGCATAATTTTCTACCTTGTATTAGACCACACTTAAGAAATCTGCTTGATTACTGTAAACAGTTTGGACTTAAATGAAATTGTATTGTTGAAGATTAAAAGCTGCCTAACAAATATCCTGCAGGAGTATCAGTCCATATTAGACTGTAACAGTTGTTGCTGTCTTTTGCCTAAGTTTAACCTAGGATGAGTTTCTCTTGTCAGGAGTTTCAGGAAAGGTTAAATAATACTTTATTGGATTATCTGACAATTGAATTATCCATCTTTGAGTTGTAGTATTAGAGCTTATGGTTAAAAGGAATGATTTAAACTGTTATCTTGGACTACTTGCTACGACCCCAACCCTCCCTGAGGACAGATTCATCTTTCATAGTTCACTCCCTTTGAACAGACTTTCCCTGGGAGGGGAGGGCAGGTTAGGCAAATTACCCCCCAAACTCAAGTCTAAAGAGACTTGCTTTTAACCTATTCTCTGATTCATCTTCAGAGGTGCTTTGTAAATTGATCTAGTAACTTGTTGCTTGGCAAAATGACTTCCCCTAAATAATGTACATGGTGACCAGCATTTCAGTAGTATGTCTTATAATTTATCAGAGATTTTTACCAATGCCTGCATGCTGTTTGCATTGCAGAAATTCAAGGGGGCTAATGGTATCATTCCACTCAGTTTCTTAAGAGAATAACCCTATAAATCTAGACTTCATGCATCCAACATATTTATGCAACTCTTAAAAATATGAATGAGGTGACACAAACTTTTTCGAGGTGATTTTTGATTTGTCTAGAAGTTGACTCAGTATATCATTTAACTGGTCACATATCTTTGGACATCTGTTGTAATGTTTGCTCATTTAGATTTTAAGATTGATTCCCAAGTCTAACTTCAATTACCTGCCGACCAACTATAATCACTGAGAATTCCCCCTGTTTTGTTGTCTTCTTTCTCTAATACTGTTTTGTGTAATCTCATTGGGGTGTACATTTATCCAGTCTTGTGGACAGAAATTAATGAGATGATTTTGGAACTGAACTGAAAAATTATAATTTGATTTGTCCCTCTCAATTCTAAACAACTAATTGATGTTTGGCATATTTCAATTATTAGAAGACCCTGTGCAAAAGCAGAATATTATGGAACAGTGCTGTGGGTCTAGTTTATAAAAGAGAAATCTCAATCTTTGTTTTGAATATTAATCAGTGAATAGACTTTAATACAGTACATAGATTTCTCAGTTTTAATATTGCCGTAGCTGGTATTGTTACTCTTCTTTCCCAGTCTCTCCCATTCCATATGTAGACCACAAATACACAAATGATTGAACAGAATGATTGAACACTGGCAGGAAGAAGAGTTTTTTGGGTGGTATTATCTGCATATTGCTTCTTTTTGTAACATTGTCAACAAATTATTACTACTACTTTGGATGTTGAATTTTAACTCTGCCATTGTGAATTTTAACTGTGAATTTTGGGACATAAGTTAGCCTCTTGAAACCTCGGTTTCAAAACTGCTATTATAATTTTTGTTAATGTCAATAAAGCAGTTTTAATCAAGTGACTACCAACTGGTTTTACGAGCTTGCCTTTTTAATACAGAACTTTTTCTCCCATGGGGATATAGAACAGTTAGATTTCTAGAAAATGGCCTTGGGAGAACCTAAAGCAAGAGTTAAAGTGAAAGAAAAAAAATTACATTCATTCAAAATTGGGGTACAAAAAATGTTCTCTACCATAGAAAAATTAGGAATTAAAAGAAAGGATGATTCATTTATTCCACAAACATCAGCCAAACACTTGTATCGGGTGCTGTGCTATGTCCACTGTGAATATAGAGATGTATCTTGTAGCCCCAGAGGAATTCACAAACTTGTGAGGGAAAAGAACCTGTAAGCAGTGAAATTATAACATACTATGCATACAAGTTATAATAAAGAAACATGAAGAATATCCACTTAGATCATAAAAACAGATCTGACCTGAGTAATGGGGTATAAAAGTACAGAAAAGATGAAGGAATTGGGGAAGAATTTATTGAGAAGCTAGCCTACATTGAAAAATATTGAGCAAAAAATAGGAGAATCTATATTTGTCCTTGAGTCTGTCGAAAGTGGCCACATCAGGTGTTTAAGTAAATAGGCTAGTGAATAGCTGAGAAGGAAGGTAATATTTTTTTATGTATTTGGTATATGCATGCCACTGGGCCCAAACCTTCTTAAGCTGTATTTTTTGTATCATTCTGTATGCTATGTTTGCCGACCTATATTTAATTTCTTCATAAGAACTCTAAAATCCATAATAAATATTTCACATATAGGAAATGGCTGATTTAACAAGTAATCAATAATTATGAAGACCAGGAACAGAAAACTGTCTATTTAGGGAAATGATTTTCAGTGAGATCCCTGGACCCAGTACAAGTAGGAACATCTGAAAATGTGTTTTCTGACTCTACGCCAGACTTACTGAATCAGAATTTCTGGGGTGGGAATAGCAATCTGGGTTGTAGTAATGACAACCTGTTTCATGCCTGGGTTCAGCAAACTACTCTTTGGACTGGATGTGGGTAATTTGCTTTTATAAATAAAATTATATTGCTGCACAGTTATACTTTGTTTTATTGTTTACAGCTACTTTCTCACTACAATGGCAGAGCTGAGTGATTGTAACAGAGACCTTATGGCCTGCACTATTTGGATCTTTAGGGAAAAAGTTTGCTGACTTTAGACCATAGACACTATAGTGATGTCTAAACTCTAAATATATAAAGAGATATTTACTAATTAAATTGAAGACTGTGAAAAAAAAAATAGGAATTTGCCATGATTTTAATTTTTTAACCTGTTCTTTCCCTTGTAGTCAAGGATGCTATCTAAATGGGCCTTTCAGTTCAAATCTACTGACAATCCCGAAGCAAAGGTCATCTTCTATATCGCTTTCTCACCATATAGGTCTCAGAAGAGCTGGTAAGAAAACAGTCTTTATGATATAAATATGGGAGGTCTCAAACTGCATAGTAGTGCAAATTTTTGTCATTACAGTTTTTAGCTAATTTTGAAAACCATTTGATGTTGTAAGTTAATGTAAGTAACAAATTTGGGCTCGCTATTAGTTATTTGACCATTTGCTCATTCACATTTTTGAACTATCTACCATGTTCTTTGTTAGGCACTAGGAAGTCACAGATAAAATGTAGAACTACTTAACCTAAATAGTTGAAGATCTAGAGTCACCTACCATCAAGGGAAAAAAAATCTCAGGAAAGGGGATTCTTTCATATATGGTATATGGAAAGAATCTTTATATGAGTGGAAAAAACCCTGACTATATACTAGTAAAGCTATTATAGAAATGTTGACAAACTTTTGGATGAAAGATATTTTATAGGTACAATAGAGTTATGGTAAAACAACATCGATATGCTGATTTTAATATATATGCTGTCTGCCTAAACAGAGGCAACATGATACACATTCACAAAATTCTTTTATACGTGTTTGTCATACAAGAAAAATTATAAAACTTAGAGAGACAGAAAAATATTATTAATAAACAAGAAAAACAGACACTGTAAGGAACTCTCTATGACACTGATGTTAGGTCTAACAAAAACTTTAATAATGTCTTAAAAGAAATAGAAGGAAAGCAGATCAAAATGGATGGATAATTTTAACGGAGAATGGAAGACAGAGAAAAGAAACAATGGGCAGCCTAGAACTGTGAAAATTCAATTGTTTAGATTAAAAGCTTATTGGATGGTTTAAGAGCAGATGGGACACAGGAGAAAACAGGAGTTGTGAACTTGAAGACAATAAAATACTCAAATGAAGCACCGAGAAGTGAAAATAAGACTTTTCCATTTCTGTGGGTAAGAAGATTGGAAGTCACATTCATCCTATAAACCAGTAAAAAAACTGAACTGACTGATAACTCAAAAACTCTTCCAGGATTTGTAACAGAGGTGAGGACCTAAAGGTCAAACATTGTCCCCCAAGTTGGAAAAACAGACATGTAAACCTAGTGCAGACTCACATGGGAAAACCCCATCAGGAACAAGGATCTGGAACCAGTGGTGGGGTAGAAAAATCTCAACCATAACTGATATACTGCTGTATCTCAGTGTGGACAACTCAATATTGCAGGAAGACCCAGCCATAGGGGGCCCCACAGTTCTGTGAGATTCACCTCTAAGAGCTTGACCAGGTTTCATGAGCAAATATCAAAGAAAAATCCCCTCATGTTTCTGGCAGAAGGAGGGGAAAAGGAACCATTTTGAAATATACCAGAACATTATGTTCTTCAGAGGGCCTGCCCACAGAAGAAATTAGTTAACTAAAGCCTAACTCACTGAGTTATCACTGGGAAAAGGGAAATATTTAACTCTAGTCCATTCTAGCTTTTCTCTTCAACCTAAGGGAAGTTGAAAAAGAACCTAGAAACACAGGTGATGTTCACAGTCCAGAGACCTATATAAAAAAGTCTTTTAGTCACTAAAAGACTAAAGTCTAATGATAGAGCTATAGGATATTTCCACTCCCCCTGTCCCTCATCACCACTTTGCTAAAAGCCTAGCTTCTTTGTAGAATTGTCAAACTGATCCTAAAGTTCATATTGAAATTCAAAGGGCCCAGAAAGGCAAGTGGAGGACTCGCCCTTCCAAGTTTTAAAACCTACTGACAGGGTATGGTTAATCAAGACAGTATAGTACTGGCACAACTCAATGGCATAGAATTGACCATTCAGGGCCTCCCCAGTGGCGCAGCGGGTTGAATGCCATGCTGTGAAGCTGTCCGCAGCCTCTGCAGTGCTGGTTTGATTTCCGTCTGGCCAGGGAGAAACCCACATGGCTCAGCAGACCTCTCCTGCCTTGCCCACTGCTCCCCTCAGCAGTGTATTTCAGTCAGTCTGCTTGTTCTGTTCCCCGCTCTGTCTCTGGTGAATTCTCTCACCCTCCCGCGCCTCTAGCCTGCACCCCAGCTCTTGTATAAAAATAAATAAATCTTTAAAAAAAAAATTGACCATTCAAAAGTAAGCCCTTCACATGGTCAAATGGTTTTCAAAAAGGGTGCCAAGATTAATTCATTAGGAAAGGAATAATGTTTTTAACAAATGAGAGGATAACTAGATACATTATATGAAAAAGGATGAATTTGGAACTCACCTGTCATCATACTCAAAAAACCTTATGGACACAAATGTAATACGTAAACCCTAAAACTTGTAAAAAAAAAAAAACAATAACAACATAGTAGAAAGCCTATAACTTTGGGTGTTGAATAAAATGGACAGAGATGTCCTACAAATCAGTAACAAAAAGTTAAGTGCCCTCATTTAAAAAAGGGCATAAGATACAAATAGATGTTTCTCCAACGATGTATAAGTTGGCTGTAATGACATGAAAAGACACTTAGTATCATTAATCATTAGTCAAATACAAATTGAAACCACTGTAATTGAAAATCAGACAATAGTAAGTGTTGGTAAAAATGTTGAGAAGTGGGAACACTCATACTGATGATGGGAAAGTAAAATGTTTCAGCCACTTGGAAGACACTTCGGCAGCTCAGTACTTGAATAGAGGAACAAAATTGCTGTATTCATACAAACAAGTTTATATGGCATTGGAAATGAGTGCAAGAGTCATATGCAACTGCATGGAAGTGTTTAAATGTTGAGTAAAGTAAATGAGACATAGCAGCAATATATAGACCATTTGACTCAGTTCACAAAGTTTAAAAAAAAAGGGCAAAATTAGCTTAAATTGGAGGAGATGCACAAATACATAATATAAATATTTTTAAAAGCCAGAAAATAGTGCCACAAGTTAAAACAATAATTTCCATAGCTTAGCTATTGTAAATAGTGCTGCTATAAATGGAAACAACGCACATGCCCAAAAATAGATGACTGGATCAAGAAGATATGGTTCATATACACAATGGAATATTACTCAGCAATCAAAAAAGATAAACTCATGCAATTTGCAGCAACATGGATGGAGCTGGAAGGGATCATGCTCAGCGAAATAAGCCAGAAAGAAAAAGAAAAATACCGGATGGTCTCACTCATAGCAGGAATTTGGAAAACCTAAATAAGGGACCAGGAAAAAGACTAATTATAATAAAGTCAAAATCAACTAGCAACTATAAACCAGAGACACACTATGGGGAGGAGGGGAGGAAGGGGTAGGGTCAAAATAGGGGGGGCAGGAATTATATGGGGAATATAATCAAGATGAAAATGCAAAAATGATAGAAGTGCAAAATGATGAAGTGCAAAAATGAAAAATGATGTAAAATATATAAAATAAAATAAAATAAAAACAATAATTTCCTTTAATGAAATGGGAGAGAATTTCTGTTTTATGTCTTAGCTTGAATGATGAGCATTTCTGTTGTAACTTTTCTATGTACATGTTAATTAAATTTCACAAGTAAAAATAGGTTTAAAATAAAATGATGAATTCATAGTCTAGAAAGTCTTTTTTAAGGGTTATTGGCTTTTTCCTACCATTTTTCCCTCTCCTCAAAGCTTTTCAGTATTAATTAAATTTCTATCCCAAGATTATTTACCTTTATCCTTCTCAGCTTGTTTGTCAGGATTGTGTGTGTGTGTGTGTGTGTATAGCTTTGTATTATATATATAATGCACATATTGCTGAAAATTGGAACTTTTGCCTCTAGTTTGTAACTAATTACTGTTATGACTTTGACAAGCAGACCACTTCTCATTTTTAGCTTCCCTTTTCCTCTTCTGAAACATAAAACATTTGACTTGAATATTTATAAAATCCTGTCAACCCTAACATATGAATTTATAGAAATCAATCTGATTAAATAGCAGTGGCAGCCTAGAAAGGGTAAGGTATCAATGTTAACTAACTCAAGTTTCTTGTATTTTTTTTGGTCACACGTTAAATGAAAATGCTATTAATCATAGGGTTAATTGTGAGGATTAAATAAAATAACACATTGTGGTAGCCAGGGTTTTCCAGAGAAACAAAATTTATCAGATGTGCCTATGCATATACATGCATACAGACAGACAAATAGACACAGACAGGGAAGGGAGTTAGAAAGATGAATATTTTGACAGAATTATTTCAAGCAGTTGACTCACAAAGTCTGAAAATTTTAGGGAATGTTTCCAGGCTGTAATTTGTAGCAGGAGTTGATGTTTGAGTTTAGATTCGGAAGACAGTCTGGAGGCAAATATTTTCCTTTTCAGAGGACATCATATTTTCTCTTAAAACCTTCAACTAATTGGATAAGGCCAACCCGCATTAGAGAAGTAAATCAGCTTTACTCAGTCTGCTGTTGCTCACATCTGAAAAATATATGCATAGCAAAATTTAAACTGGTGTTTGACCAAACGACTGGATACCACAGCCTAGTTAGATGGAGATATAAAATTAACAATAACACCTGTCTGTTAAGTGTTTGCCATTATGCTAATATTTACTTATTGTAAGTTCTTAATAACTGTTAATTGCTTTTCTTCCGATTCACACTTTGACTCCCCCCTCACCTTAGTTCTATTCTCCACTAGACTCTAGGTTTATTGAGTTGGAAAGATGGTATCTTTTTCTCTGTTGTAAAATCCAGCACATTTTCCAGTATATAATAGGTTCTACAATATGTGTTGAATGAATGAATGAGCTGGGTAGATTTGGATATATTTTTTAAAGAAATCTGCAGTTGTGTTATACAGTTTTATCACATGCTCAACTTGCTTAATGCTTTTGGGAACTTTGGTTTTTCAATAAAGATGGATTTTATTGTATTGAAAATATTCAAAAATATTTATTTATTCATGTAAATTCATGAATTATTCACATGAGTAATCATGTGAATCATGATTACATGTGAGTAATCATGTGAATAATCGAACTGGTAGGGACACAAAATGTGAAAAATGAAGTTCAATATGAATTAGGAAATTTGTGCCACATAGTATGTACATTTTAGTTAAGCTCTTAATGTTTACCTGCCATGTGCCATCCTCCTCCTACAGGGTATTTATTCCAGCCACTGATGATAAAAAATATGGTCTGTATTTTGCTTAAATTCCTAAATGAAGATAGCTCCACCTAGAAATCTGTTTTATCATTTAATTGTGAACATTTTGCTTTCTTTACAGGAGGAAAATGTTCTATATAAATATACAAACACATAAATTCATATTTGTCTCTTCTCTTAATTTTTAAAGGTGCTTTTTCCAGCCTAAGTCCTGTGAATTCTCCCAGTTATGGACCGGTGTCTGCTGGTTCTCTAACTAATCGATCACCTATAGAATTTCCGGATACTGCTGATTTTCTTACTAAGCCAAGAGCTATTTTACAGAAATCTCTGGGCAGTGCACCCAGTTCACCAGATTTTTATCAACAACTTAAAAATTCTGATAGCAACTTGTGTAACAAGTAAGTTACCTAAACGTTTATTATTTGTTTCAAAATGTAGGTTTAACAAAATATCAGTTATTTTGTTTATATTATCACTAGATAATGGGTTAAGACTATCATCTTCTTTATTTACCTTATAGTTTTTATTCTAAATAAACTTTTTCATTTCACTGCTATTATTCATTTTCCAATTTAAGTGAAATGTAGTGCTATTCTACTTATCATAAAATATCAATAATTGTACAATGTTGATTTTAGTCTTTATAGATTTTAATGTCTATATCTATCTAGTGCCCAGTTCATGTGTTTATTCTTATTTCTGCTTTGGAAGTAATTAGTATTTACCTCTGACCTCTGGCTTTCAAAATATGTTAACACAGATACTTTCTAGGACAATCCTGTTAAGTAGAGAGAGACTAAAATATTTGTATATTTTGCAATTGAGATCTTGGTTAAAAATTAAGCAGATATTCCAATTCTACTTAAGTAAAAAAAAATTCTTTATTTATCATATGTGTTTATCTGTTTTATTCCATAAGTTGTGGACATCAGATACTGAAATATGTTTCAACTTCTGAATCAGAGTCTGGTACAGATTGCCACAGTGGAAAATCAGGTAAGACTGTGCAAAAAAATCTAGGTATTTGAATTTAAGAGCAATTTCTAATTTTTTTAATGAATGAATGAATGGCATCTTTAAAATAAAAATTATAGTGTATTTATCTATTATATAGGAGTCATTAGGGACAAATTATAAATAGGTGGTGAGAGTATTTTTAAGAGTAAAAATGAACCATCATAAGCAGTGAAATTAATTATAATAACATTGAAATTTATATAATACAATTTAAGCCCAAAAGGGTTAGCACATGTTTTTCTCAGGCATAGAGGAATTCTTTTAAGATTTGATTATAACATTCTGAAAGATTTTATATTTTCAAATAAGAAATATTGTTGGCAAAATTGTAAAACTGTAGTTGTTTCATAACTTTAAAAAATATATGATTCAAGTGTCCAATAGTAATTAACTAGGTAACTCACACCATCATTCCTCCTGAAGGTAGCTAGAGGAAAGCTGGACAAATTATTAACAACAACAAAATCTGCTTGAAGCTATTGAAGTACTAGCAAGCTCTTTAAATTGCTCAGAGTTACCAGTATAATATCTAGGTGGATGAGGATGATAGAAATGCAAAAAAGTGAACCTGGAGTGTGGGGCCATCCAAAAGGGTATTTGCTGTTTCCAGGGGGATCAGTGATTGATAGAATGCGAATGATGTTTTACAAAACTCCATGGGAGTAGAAGGATAGAGACTGGAGTTGAAGGATTGCCATGGTAGGGATTACTTGGTAAACTCAGCAGTGCTGCACCCTAGGACTAAAGGTAAACCAGAAATAGATTAAGCCCTTTCATAGGTTATAGACTCATATCAATCCCTTCACATATCATAAAATTCACCCTTTTATAGTGTATAGTTCAATAGTTTTGAAAGGGTTGTTTAGCAAACAAAGAAAGCAATCCTTCATAAACATTTCCCAAAAAATGGAAGAGTGAAAACTTCCCTACTTATTCTGTAAGACCAGTATTACCCTGATACCATGACCAAACAAGACCAAAACTTAGTCTTGCAGACAAGAAAACTACGGAAAAATATCTTTTATGTTCATGGATACAAAAACCCTAAACAAAACACCAGCATACTGAATCTAGGAGCACAATACAGGGTTACACATGACAAATGATATTCATCTCAGGAATTCAAGGGTAGTTTAAAATTTGAAAACCAATCCATTTAATATATTACATTAATAGAATAAAGGGGGTAAAAACCACATGATATTCTAAATACATGCAGAAAAGGCAAAAGACAAAATCCCATACTTTTTCTTGATAAAAACGTTAAAATTACTAATTGCAGGGACATTCCTTAACCTGATAAACGGCATCTTTAAAAAACACATGACTAATATTCTTAATGCAGAAAGACTGATGTGTTGCCCCTGGGATTAGTAGTAAGGTAAGGACATGCTTTCAGAATCTCCAGTATTGTACTGGAGATTCTAGCCAAGACAATTAGAAAGAAAATGAAATAAAGGTATCCTGAATGGAATAAAAGGAAACAAACTGTCCTATTCACAGATAATATACTTTATGTAGAAAATCCCAAAGAAAGCAGACACATGTTACTGCTAGAACTCATAAACAAGTTGAGCAGTCACAAGATAGAAGTTCAGTCTACAAAATCAGTTGTATTTCTGTATGTCAGCAATTACAAGTTGAAATTAAGAGGGCATTTCCATTCACAATAGTATCAAAAAGAATCTAGTTAGAACAAAGTTAACAAAAGGAAGTGGGAGATTTATAAACTGAAAACTATAAAACATTGCTAATAGTAAAGAAAAAGAGCCCTGAGCATTGTCAACAGGGCTGGCTGTTCTCCCAAGTTTTTCCATAAATTCAGTGCAATCCTTATCAGTTTCAGCATGACTTTGGTAGAAAATGTCAAGTTGGTCTTAATATTGAAAATACAGATGACCTACAATAGCCAAACTAGTTGGAAAAGGAAAAATTTGGAGGACTAATACATCTGATTTCAAAACTTAAAAAAATCACTATAAATAAGACAATATGATATTCATAAAGGATGAACTGATAGAACAATGAAACCAAATTGCTAGTCCAAAAATAAATTTTTACATTTATGAGCTACTGATTTTTTGACAGATACCAAGACAATTGAAAAGAAAAAGGACATTTTGTCCCCAATAAATGGGATCGGGACAATTGGATATCTGCCAAAAAGGAGTTTTGGGCCCCCTTATCTCACCATACACACACTAAGTGACTCAAAATAGTTCATAAGCCTAAGTATAAGAGTTAAAAGCATGAAACTTGTAGAAGAAAATAAAGGACTGAGTTTCATGATCTTGAATGAGTAAAGTGTTCTTTGGTAGAATAACAAAAGCACAGTCCATGAGAGAAAATTGAGCTTATGCACATCAAAAGTCACTAATAAGAAAATGAAATGACACATCAGATTGGGAAAAATATTTGCAAAGTATACATCTGATGAAGGTCTTAATATCTGTGATACATAAAGAACTCTTACAACTTAGTATTTTTAAAAGTCACATAATTAAACTAAAAAAATTAGCAAAAGATCTCAGATATTTTAGCGAAAATCACTTGGTGAAGGATATAAATGAATATAAATATAAGAAAAAAATGATGAACATCCTTAGTTGCATCCTTAAGGAAATGCAAATTCATCCTACAATAAGACATAACACATACTAACTAGAATAGTTAAAATTAAAAGGACAGGCAATACCAAGTGTTGGCAAATATTCAGAGACATTGGAACTCTTGTGCATTGCAGATGAGAAAGTGATACAATCATTTTGGAAAACATTTTGACACGTTGTTAAAAAATTACACATAAATTTCCCATAAACCCCGCAATACCACTGCTAAGAATTTACTTTTTTTTTTTTTTTTTTTTTGGTGGGACCCTTGCTGGCGGCCAGAGAAGGAGCTGGCGCTGCAGAGGCTGCGGGCAGCCTCTCGCAGCCCAGCGCTCAACCACTGCGCCACCAGGGGAGGCCCCACTAAGAATTTACACCAGAGAAAACATGAGCACTGAAAGACAGGATTGTGAATGCCTATGACATCATTATTATTGACAATAGTGCAAAACTGGAAATGATTCAAATGTCTATGAACCTTTGAATATATAAATATCATGTGGAATATCCATAGGATGTAATTTAATTCATCAGTCTAAGAAATGAACTCTTGCACATTCTACTACATGGATGAACTTCAAGACATTATTCTAAATGAAAAGCCAGACTCAAAAGATTACATGTATATGAATTTTTAGAAAAGACAAATTTATATAATTACAAGTGACTACAGTAAAAATAGAAAATAAATATAAATGGGCATAAAGGAATATGGGTGATGAGATTATTCTAAAACTGATTGTTACAAAATGGTTGTACAGCTCTGTAAATTTACTAAAATTGTTGAAATATACACTTAAAATTGTTGGGTTTTTTTGGTATGCACTTATACTCAATAAAGCTTAAAAACAAACCAATAGTTCAGTAATTCTCTAAGTCCTTTGTATTAGTTATTGTCAACTGGAACATTCTCAGTTGGGGGCTCTTCTGTGATTACTGTCAGATATTGGCAAGGGTAAATATCTGAAGGATTGACTGGGGTAAATTTCCAGGATGAATAACCCATCGAAATATGGCATTCTTCCAACTGTTATTTGGATTCCACTGAAAGGAAGAGATGGAAGCTGCCAGTCTAGTTAATGGCTCAACCCAGAACAAAGTATCACTACGGCCATATTCTGTTTCAGAACAGTCATGTGGCCTGTCCAGATTCCAAGGCCCTGTAAAATGCTCTTGAAGGAGAATACATTTCAAAAGAGTGTTGTGGACATTTATGGAAAAGAAACTGACACATTGTACTGTTTTTAGGAGTTTAGATGATTAATTTTAGGAGTTTAGATTATTAAAATACAAAGCATATACTTCATAATAGCAACAATTTTTATATTGATGACTTTTACATTATTACTGTAATTGCTACCTTTATTCACCAAGGTACGAATAGTTGAATATTCTAAATTTCATTTCTTAAAATAACTCTTTTTCATTTGTGGGCCTTCCTGGTGGTGCAGCAGGTTGAGCACAGTGCTGTGAATCTGTCCGCAGCCTCTGCAGCGCGGCTTTGATTCCTGGCCAGCCAGGGAGATACCCACAAGGTGTGGCAGACCTCTCCTGTCTTGCCTGCTGCTCCCCGCAGCAGTGCTTTCAGTCGGTCTGCCTGTTTTGCTCCCCGCTCTGTCTCTGGTGAATCCTCTCACCCTTCCACGCCTCTGGCCTATACCCCAGCTGTTGTATAAATAAATAAATCTTTAAAAAATATATTTTTCATTTGAAGGGTACAGCACATCCCAATCATCATAGTTATTTTTGTAATGCATTCCATGTGGTAAGGTTCAGATTTGGCCTTTATTAATCACCTATTATATATAATAAATAGTAAGATAGGTGTTATCCATATTTTACAGGGGAAAAAGCTTGTCATTAAATGCAAATTCAGAATTTAAATCTAGTTCTCCTGAAACTCTCCTACACTGAGTACTCTTAAAAATGTTTACTTTACAAAACACCCTACATTTTGAAAATTAATTTATAGCTTGAAAATTTTCATACACAATAAACCTGTGTAATCAGTACCTCAGACTTTCCCCTCATCCTTTCTTCCAGGTACATTCTCCAAAGATAATGTCCATCCTGTCTTTCAATACTCTTGTGTATAAGTTTTGACATGTTTTTGAACTTTTCATAAGAGAATCAGAGTACGTACCTTTGTGTCTGGCTTCCTTCACTCAACATTAGATTCCTAAGAATCATCCATGTTATTGCATGTGATCGTTGTTCATTCTCTTTGCTCTGTAGTGTTCTATTGTGTGTATATACTGCAGTTTATTCTGTTGATGGGTTTTGGGAAGGTTTCCTGTGTAGGATATTGCAAACAAAATGAATATGAATGAATGCCATTTAGTTGCTAATGCTACCTCTGTCCCATGTGATTTGGGATAAACATTAATCACATTGGTAGAGAATTTACAATTCATGATATTGTTTTAAATTTTAGGTGTACCTTAATTTCATTCATATGTAACTGCAAATATAGTTGTCAATTTAAAATTCAATTTCAGATGCTGAAAATTTTTTATATCAAATTGGTTTTTAAAAAGTTCCTATTGTTAGGAACTGATTTTTTTTCTGTTTCTCACTTTTATAAAGAATATGCAGCCATCTCTTTCATCCAGGAATGAGTAAAGCAGGTGAAATGTTTGTGTTGCCTGAACATAAGGTACTGAGGCCAAATAATGCAATACAGCAAGATGCAAAATAACGGTGCATTCCAATTGAACACCTTAGTTCACTTTACCTGAGTATTTTTTACAAATAATTTTCCTTATAAAACTAGCCAAATAGGGAAAGTTTTATTCTTATTTATCACTTTGTTTTACTTTTTTGAAAGGTGATGAAGACAACACCATTTTATCAAGAGAATCATTCAACCTTGCAGAAGCTCAACAAAAAGAAGAAACTGAAAAGAGAGACTGTAGAAAATTGTTTTTGGAAGGTGATAATCACCTAACAGAAGCAACACAGAATGAACAGCAACTGAATGTAAAAGATAAACTTTCAGTGTGATTTTGTTATGTGAAATATATTAGTACTAGTTTTGTGTTCTTTTTGCCTAGAACAAGGTTTTTAATATAATGACATTTTAAAATTTTTTACTGAGAAGTCACTATAACACTAAACAACACTTTGGATTAAATATAATTACTTGTAAGCTCATCATTCTACAGCAAAGTATTCATTTTTAAATAAATGCATTTTATAATTTTATAGTAGGTATATTTCTATATTGATATTTTCTTTATTGTTAAAATATGAAGAATATTTGCATAGCCATTAAAAACAATGAAGATGATCTATTTATTTGAAATAGTAATATTTCTTTTGTTCTTAAAGTTTAAAATATAAGTTTCTTAGGGAAAAAACCCACCCATTTCTCTTGGGATCTTATCTTAGTAAAAAATGCCAACATAAGGATATGAGTTTCTTTCTGCTATCCTTGATACTTATAAATTCTAAAATGAAAGTGACATTTTAGATTTGTGTTTTGGAAATGGAGTATTTTTAATTTGTGAAAGAAAAACAAAGATTAATAAGTCTTTTGATGCCTAGAAGATATGTTTATAGTTGTATGGAGATACATACTACAAAGAGAATAGGAACTACAGGTTATGTTTGAGAATAACCATTACAGAAAATAGTACTTGTCATTTTATAATATTCAGTTTTAAGTGTTCTCTTAAAAAGTGGATTTAACAATGTTTATAAAAGGCAAGATTAAGTTACTTTGGGTGTTTTTCCCCAATACTTGTATAGATTGAACAGGAATCACCACTGGACCTGATTTTAATAGAAGATTTTGACTCATTAATAGAAAAGATGAGCAATTGGAATTTTCAAATTTTTGAAGTTGTACAAAAGATGGGGGAAAAGTCAGGAAGGATCCTCAGTCAGGTTTGTTTCTATTCTCTAACTTTTATTATAAATTAATTTTTCTTATATCTTGATAAAAAGCAAAATTAAAAAATGTATAATGGTTTAAGTACAAGGTCAACATTGTTCATTGAATTTTTTTCTCAAATGACATTTTTAGTAGAAAATTAGAAAAGATAAACCTATATTTAAATTTGAAAAGAGAAACTGACATACATATATGGAGAGAGAGAGATCTATAGACAAAGAATAGTTTATTTGCCTATATTATTGGGATTTAATTTAGCCTGAAGGAGTAATAAAAATTTACTTTTTTATTAAGTCTTGAGATGAAGAAGGACATGAAACATGATCTAACTCTAACTGAAATATATACTTCTTTTTTTTTTCACTTGCCCTCTGTATACTTTATCCTTTTCATGGTAGAAAACTGTAATAACACTTCCATTTATTTCAGAGTTTTCCCTGATGGGTCCACACTACAGCATGGGATTTAAGCTTCCCAACAAGTATCATTCTCATCAATTCCAAAGTATCTTACTTAATCCATACAGGAACATAAAGATAAATTATATGGAAAGCTTGTAAGTTCATCATTGAGGCCTTGAAGGACAAAAATATGATAATCATGTTCTGACTTCTTTTAACCTCTAGGGCTAGAAAAGAATAGAATTCTTATGCCCGCAATAAATTATGGATAAAAAGCTAAAGAGAAGATTGTACAATTTTAAATTTGGGTCATGCTGTGGTAATTATTCTTTGGTTTTGAAAGGTTCTAGAGTGATATCTTCAAGTTTTCTTGTTTTGGAAAAAATTCATTGTGGGGAAGTTTTTAATAAATTATTAAAGATATATAAACAGTTAATAAAATTTCTAAATGCTAACCATAAAAATGTTATACTCAACTATTATTAGGAATTCTGATTTTTAAAGTGAACTTTATTTTAATTGATATTTAGGTCATGTATACGTTGTTTCAAGACACTGGTTTATTGGAAATATTTAAAATTCCCACTTCACAATTCATGAACTATTTTTGTGCATTAGAAAATGGCTATCGAGACATTCCTTGTAAGTATTAATGTCTTAGTATTTATGTTCAAATAATATTGGTTTTGAAATTATTATTTTCCCTTCTGGTAATTCCTTAAACACTTTTAAAATTACATGTTTAGAAAAGTTTTCAACAGGGATTTAAAAATAAAGTCTGTATCAACCTAGAGTTAACTGACTAAACATTTTGGTTTGTATTCTTCAATTTTTTTCTTATATGTTTATTATTTTAATGAATCATAATATTGACTCCTATTTAATCCTGCTTTTTTACTTAATTGTTATGTTTAAAATATTTCTATATTAATAATTATTATTTGAGTACCTTATCTTTTACAATGTTGGCAATACTAAGCCAAAAGTTTCAGAAAATTCTTGACTTTAAAATGTTTACTATTTTGATTTTAAAATGTTTACTATTCGCTGGTGGTGTAGGGGTTAAAGACACAGTGCTATCAAGCTGTCCTGCAGCAGGAGTTCAATCCCAGCAGGCCAAAGGAACTAAGGAGCTAACCCACATGGCACAGCAGACTGTGCCTGTCTCACCTGCTGCTCCCCTCAGCAGTGTATTTCAATAGATCTGCCTGTTCTGCTCCCAACTCTGTCTATTGTGAATCCTCTCACCCAATGTCCCCCTAACCCCTGCACCTCTGGCCTACACCCCAGTTCTTGTATGCATAAATAAATAAATCTTTTTAAAAAATAAAATGTTTACTATTTACCCATTGCATTTTTTAACTATGTCCCCACATACAGAATTTTTTTTTTTTTAATAGAGGCATGTTTATTTATTTATTTATTTGTTTGTTTGTTTGTTTTGTTTATACAAGCACTGGGTACAGTCAGAAGCACGGGAGGGTGAGAGAATTCACCAGAGCCAGAGCGGGGAGCAGAGCAGGCAGAAGGACTGAAGCACACTGCTGAGGGGAGCAGCGGGCGGCAGGAGAGGTCTGCGCGCCATGTGGGACCCTCCTCCGGTGGCCGGGGAGCAGCTGGGGATCGAACTGGCGCCACAGAGGCTGCGGGCAGCTTCGCAACCCAGCGCTCAAACGCTGCGCCACTGGGGAGGCCCCGTACAGAATTTTTAATGGCTATTTGATTTTATGATAAAATTTAATTTTATTTCTTATTAGCAAAAGATAGTTTTCCTTTTGTGAACACAGTCTAAGTTTCCCTCCATATGGACACATTTTAGGAAAATTTTATAAATAGCCAATTATTCTTAAATTGGCATAACCCTTTGCTAATGATTCTTTTTTGTTTTTGCTAATGATTCTTAACATAATTTTTAAAACATTTTGGTGATTTTAGATCACAATCGTATACATGCCACAGATGTCCTTCATGCAGTTTGGTATCTGACAACACGGCCAATTCCTGGCTTACAGCAGATCCACAATGATCAAGGAACAGGAAATGAAACAGGTACTACCTTCTATGCCTAAAATCTTTTAATTACTTGATAAGGAATAATAGCTTTTTTATTTCATTACCTCTCTTCTTTTAAAATTTTCATTAGTGACCTTTGGTACATCTAAAGAATTGTTTAGATTTTTATTCATAATAACAACACGCAAATTAGGAAATCTACCCATTTCAAGAACTAGGTTAAGATCCAGCATTGCTAGGCCCACCATGTTTCTTTTTTTGTCCCTGAATATCCTGACTATCATAATGAGCTCTTTAGTAATATTTCTTTCAGTTCTTGGTTTTTCATTTTAGCTCTGTAATGTAAATTTAAAATATATGACATTCCCAATGAAATATGTTTAAAAAGCTCACATAAGTATTTAAATGATGATATTAAAGAAAAAAACTTTGTTAACACTCCAGTTTCACCTCCAAAGAAGTTAATCCTCATCACCAATTTATACAAATAGAATGACCTAAAACATTCATGGTATTCTTATTCTAGCTTATAAAAAGGGAGAAATAGTCCCAGACAGAATTTTCAGCTATAAATGTCTGAAAAATATTACCATACTAATCAGTGTAAATGTCATAGACTAAGCCACTGTTTTATCTTCTTGGTAGTTATGTCTAAAACACTGCCATTATTGGCTTGATGAATTTAAATTACGTCTCTTGTTTATTTTTGGTTGCCATCCATATTTACTGTTTGCTAGTGTTTTTCATTTCTGCTAATTTATATTGGTGGAAACCCGAGGAATATATGTGGGAATGGAATATTTTTCTTTTTCCTTCTGGCTTATTTCACTAAGCTTAATCCCTTCTAGCTCCATCCAGGTTGCTGCGAATGGCATGAGTTTTTCTTTTTTGATTGCTGAATAGTATTCCATTTGTGTATATGTACCACACGTTTTTGACCAGTCCTCTATATTTGGGCGTTTGGATGGTTTTCAACCCTCATCTATTATAAATAGTGCTGCATTAAACATAAAGATGCAGGTATTGTTTTGAATTCATGTTTTTGTGTTCTTTGGGTTGATCCCTTCACTGGTGTTTATAAAAGTCAATATGTCAAAAAAGGGATGGCAAATATTGAGTGAAGTGAGTTATAATGAAAATCATTTTGGACCTTGACAAATTAGGGCATTATTCCTTGATTCCTCTGATGAACACAATCTATAAAATTTTGTATCTCTTTAGCTTGTGGCTTTTTTTTTTATATACTTAAATTATGTTTTTTTTTTCTCTTATACTTTCAGATACTTTTAACAAAAATAATACAGTGACCATATAAATAAAGCTACCAAAATACAAAAAAAAAAAAAGAGTAAGAAATGGTTAAGACATTAGGATGCCAAAAGCACAGTGCTGATAGTGAAAAGTATTGTTTCTAATTAGAGGATAATGAATTATGTTGACTGAAACATTACTCACTTTTCTATGCCTTTTCATTTTTCAGTTTTTCTTTCATTCTTTTGTAAAGGGCTTTGTGGAAAGAAAAATAAGGGAAAGAGTGGTTATAGTCAGGGTTACAAATGAAACAATCTTTCTTGAATACACTGAAAAGTTTAGTTTGTTAATATATTAAAACCCTACATCTGTTTTAATGATTTTTTTTTTTTTTTTGTGGGACCCTCGCCGGCGGCCGGGGAATGAACCGGCGCTGCAGAGGCTGCGGGCAGCCTCAACCGCTGTGCCACCAGGGGAGGCCCTGTTTTAATGAAATTTTATTCTCTAGATGGTTTCTTCCTGTCAGTTCTTATACCCTGCCATTATATCCAAACCTTAAATAACAAATGTTTAGAAATCAGAGATTTAAAAAAATTATCATTTGCCTGAGTTAGAGTCATGAGAATCATGTCCTATAAAGTAAGCAGTCTTGACTTTGCTCATGTTTGACATGGTTCTTCTCTGTCAGCATGTATGTTGGAAATAATATACGTTAAGTCCATGCTTATAGTCTATTTCTTAGGTGAGCCAACAAATAAGTTAATCTTATGGGGAATCCCCTCCTTGCCCCATTGTGAGGAAGTTATATGTAATGCTGGTTTAATTTGCTTGTTCCTCAGATTCTGATGATAGAATTAACCCTGAGCGAATTGCCTACATTTCTTCAAGGAGCTGCTCTATTCCAGATGAGAGCTACGGTTGCCTCTCTTCAAACATTCCTGCATTAGAATTGATGGCTTTATATGTGGCAGCAGCCATGCATGATTATGATCACCCAGGACGGACAAATGCATTTCTGGTGGCAACAAATGCCCCTCAGGTAAGAAATACTATCAGAAAATATAGTGATTCTGAAATCATACAACCACTCTGTATATCCTGTTGTAAGCCACTCCTCAACTGAGTCATATGAAGATTTCATCTACATCACAATAATTGGATAACACATGGCATTGACACGTGTGCTAAATAATTACCAGAAAAATTGTCAACTAGAAAATAACCTGTTGATGAAAGAGTAATTCAATATTTTCTGAAATTCTAGAGTCCTTGCTTTCAGTACTTTTGCCTTTGATCAGATTGCTAAGACTGAATAGATGTAAGACTTACTCTTCCTTCTGGCAGGAACCTTAGTATGATCTAGTCAGACTAATGATAATGATTAAGAATTATTATTTTTGTCATTGTCCACTTTTCCCCATAAGACATACCATAATACTCTTAGCTCTGAATAAATTTGTATATGTAAGCATTCCTGTACTACCAAATTTTTTTTTTTTTTTTTCTATCCAGTACAGTTTGTAAGATGCAATATCCCTTTTAAGGTCATAATTTGCTTAAGAGGCAGAAGTTTTTAACAGATGAATACTATAATTATAATAGCTTTAAACACAAGAACTTAGAAATACTTGATTTTGAGTAGAATTTAGTGTGGTTGTAGATGTTTGTTTAGGGTGGTGATTCCTGAAATGTCATCTTTATATGTCTAATGTATGCCCTACAAAGACTACAATGAATCAGTCTTCTTCTCTGTTACACTATGTTTAAACTTCAGGTCTGATTCTTTTTTCTTCTATAGCCATTTTGTCTTTATTCCCCCCACCCTCATTTCTTTTTCTTTTACACACTCTAAAATATAGAATACAGGAGAGGGGCCTCCCTGGTGGCGCAGGGGTTAAAGTATCAATGCTATAAAGCTATAAGCCAGCCACTGAAGCATGAGTTCGATCCCCAGCAGCCAGGTAGCTAAGGAGCTAACCTGCATGGCACAGCAGATCTCTCCTGTCATCGCCTGCTGCTCCCCTCAACAGAACAGATCTGCCTGTTCTGCTCCCCACTCTGTCTCTAGTGAATCCTCTCACCCCCTTCACCTCCGACCTAGACCCAAGTTCTTATGTGCATAAATAATTAAAAATTAATCTTTAACAAAATAAAATATAGGAGATAGATTCTCTAACCAACAAAGGTGTAGGATTGAGGGAAAAAATGGGCAAAGAGAGAGAAGAGAAATAGAATCAAAGGACTAGAAAGAAAGCAGGAAGAACAGGGAGTGATGGTATAGAAATATTATTTTCTAATTAAAGTTCTTTATCCCTCTAAGTTGCCATTGAATGTTGAGATTCTCAGCTATGCAAAGATCCTAAAAACCATGTTTTATTCATCCTATCTCTGAAAGTTGCCTAAAAATGTGGGGTTTTTTTGTTTTTTGTTTTTGTGGGACCCTTGCCGGTGGCCGGGGATGGAACTGGCGCTGCAGAGGCTGCGGGCAGCCTCGCAACCTAGCGCTCGATCGCTGCACCACCAGGGGAGGCCCTAAAAATGTGTTTTAATAAAACAAGGATAGTGACTAACAAATAATCTTGAAAGATATGAGATTACCAGAAATTTCAAAACTCAGAACTTCAGGGTGAAGGAATCCCAAGACAGCTGTGTATCAAGACTATTTCTTTACGGAAAAGCATCTTTTTATTCTTATTGTTATTGCTTGCTGCTTTGCTTTCTGTAGCACTTGCTTTACTACTTCTGATTTTTTCAAAATGAGCATTTTTTTTTTTCTAAGTGGAAATCACTTGAACCAGAGAATTTGTGTTTTCACACGTTTCACCCTTATTTCTTACTCCCATGTGCTTTGTTGGAATGGGAGTACAAACTATGACCTTTCAGACACCTAGGTGTCTGACTCACCTCGAACAGTATTCCTGCTTCCCTCTTCTTCATGCACTACTACTCCGGACTCCATATACTGACTAAAGTGCAGAAATGTATCCCTAAACCTATTCTATATTCCTCATGACTATTATTAACAGAAGCTTTATCTGAGTTTTACTGAATTAGTAAACCTTAAATATTAACTTTATCATCTCTTGGGATGCAGCATAGTGCCTACAAAGAGGATGAACTTTGGACACAGATGATCCTTTCATTTCCTGGCTGTGGATGTTGGAGAAGTGTAGTTATCCTCTTTGCACTTAAAAATCTCATTTATAAAATTATTACAACCCTTCTTTGCAGGTATTAAAATATCTGGCAAAATATCTGGCTTTAGTAGGTGCTCATTGATTGTATTCCAGCCTGATCCTAACTCTGTTCGTTGTTGAAGTTTTTAATCTTTGAGATGCCTATCTCATTTTTCTTATTTTTAGGCAGTTTTATACAACGACAGATCTGTTCTGGAAAATCATCATGCTGCGTCAGCTTGGAACCTATATCTTTCTCGCCCAGAATACCACTTCCTTCTTAATCTTGATCATGTGGAATTCAAGCGCTTTCGTTTTTTAGTCATTGAAGCAATCCTCGCCACAGATCTTAAAAAGCATTTTGACTTCCTTGCTGAATTCAATGCTAAGGTTTGTTATGCAAACTGTTTTAAAAAATGTAAATTATTTTTTCAGTGTTACTGATAAAAGGCAAATGTTTTTAATGTTAATTTAATGTTAACTCAGAAAGTTATAATCTCCGATGTAAGACAATATGTAACAATATTTAAAAAAAAATTTTATTATGGTAACATGTCCTAAATTGCTCTTGTTTGCTGCATGTCCTGACACATCAACCTATAATGTTGACCTTCCTTCACAGAGTGAAAACCAATTAATTATGTCAAAAGCTTTTAGGGGCATATTTGAGAAAATGTGCACAGCGCCAAGTATGGAATTATAAGAAATTAAAGATGTTTTCTATGAAACCAGTTATGCCTACTCTGCCATATCTGGCACAGTTCATGTTCGTGATGCTTTAACTGGTGGTATGAAGAGAAGTATGCTTTCCTCTTCTGTTTGAGAATAATACACATTGAACAACTATTTTTTGGATTGCGCACATGTACAGTCACTGTGCTAGTAAAAAATAAAGAAAGAACAGGGCAAAATCCCTGCTCTCAGACAGCTCACATTCACTACGGAATCGAGAATCGCTGCACTTGTGTGACTGTGGTATTGACGGGACTGTGTTACATCACTCAGACATTGGGGGTGAAAAAATAAAGAACTACTCTTTAGTTTCCTAAATGAAAGATGCCCCCTTCTTTTGCCAGCAGGAAGTTGTTTTGTCTTGATTATATTTATGACCTAAAGGAAGTAGGTAGACTTCAGGGCAGAGAAACAGGTAACAAAGGGGTACTAGTTTCAATGCCCTGGAAAGAGATGCGAGCTATGTTGTTATTATGATATTAACATAATGCTTATTAAAATCAGCAAGAAATCACCATGCCTTTTAAATTATTCCAGAGTTGTAAAGCTCTGTTACCATTAACTTTAATATAAATTCATTTATGTGCTTACATTAGAGTTACAGAAGTTTTTACAGATGAAAGTTGTCCAACCCAATAGTTTTGAATCTGTGTGTTCCACACACTTCAATTCTGTAGTCTCTCAGGGAAATACCATCAGACTGGGGCTCTAGAAGTCCAACAGTTTCAATCAGAAGAGTTCTCCTTTTAGGTGTTCTCTACAGTGATGTTCTATATAAATTTTCCTTAGACAGAAAGGTTTGGTGTCAAAAAGACTACCTCCACATTAAAAGTTCAAAAGACATTGATCTGGTCACTTCACTTCATTTTTTATAAGAGGAAATTTGAGCTCCTGAATGGCATAATAATTTGCTGAATTAATAATGATAATTATCTTTTATTTAAATGACAATGTCATTTAGCACTAATTTAGCATTTACTATTAACTCTGGGGCATTTCTCATTATTAATCTCATGATAATATGGCTAGATTGGCATTACTTTTTCTATTTATTGATAGTTAGACTAAAAGATTATTTTTCCAGTGTTACCAATCATTCTGAATCAGGATTTAAAACCATAAGGATCGACACCTAAGACTTGTGTTTTACCTTTAACGGCTATAACCAGCCTCTCCTTAGATCCTTAAGTATTCTTTCCTACGGTAGAAATTGGTTTTTATTTGATTTGATATTTTCCACACTGTTTTGCATATATACTTATATATGTTACATACACACGCAAATTATAATTCTCTGTGGTAATCACAAATATTGAAATGTATGGTTTCTTATCTTTTCTAGTACTCTGCTTCAAAGGAAAATTTAACCCATAAATGCCCATTTTATGGCACAAACTGATTAATGAAAGCATTTACTGAAATTTCCTCCTATCATTTTGATAGTAAACAGTATTTTTTAATTTGGTTTTAAAAAAGTCCTTTGCTCTCAGAACCTAACTCAATTCTGTTTTTCCAAAATAGGCCAATGATGTAAATAGTAATGGTATAGAATGGAATAATGAAAATGACCGCCTCTTAGTGTGCCAGGTGTGCATCAAACTGGCAGATATAAATGGCCCAGCAAAAGCTCGTGACTTGCATTTGAAATGGACGGAAGGCATTGTCAATGAATTTTATGAGCAGGTAAACTGAAACATGAGTTTGGTGGAATTGACACTACTCTTTAGGATTTAGATAGCTTTGTTATGTTTGAAATATGAGTTACTTTGATCAAAAAGGTTAGAAATTATTGTATTTGTTCTGGTCTTTGTATTTCCTAAACTCATTTTGCCTTTGCTACTGAAATTTTAAAACAGCAAGAAATAACTGCCCATCTCAAGTGGGATGAATGTTCTTGAGTTAGAGGTAAGAATAGCATACATAATGATTCCCTTTCAACCCTGAGAGCCTATAACCTAGGATAATTTATTTCCAAATGAAGTAGTTTTTAATTCATTCAGAGTATGCTTAGTTTATATTTAAAGAATAGCAGTTTCAACTGTTACTGAAAGAATGCCTTAGAAACATCAACAACTTAATAAAAGTATGGCAGAGAAAAATTGAGGACTAGAAATGTAGTACTCTATAGTTTTCAAGGATTCAGATAGAGCAACATACAATTTTCTCATGTTTTAAAATCTTGGCCTTAGACACACTACAGGGGGTTGGGGGTGGGAGCGATTACGATCAAAATAAGGGGGGTGGGAATTGTATGGGGACTATAACCAAGATGAAAAAGCATACATTGTGCAAAAATGAAAAATGATGTAAAAATATATATAAAATAAAAAAATATATATAAAAAATAAAATATTAAAAAAATAAAATCTTGGCTTTACTGCATTGCAGAATATGCAATGCATATTGGGGGGTCCAAGTTTGAGGCTCTCTACAATATAGAAGTATACTGATTTCTCGACAAGCCTATCAGTTCATTATTTCCAAAATATCAAATATATCTTTTTGACTTTGGAATTGTATTCCTTGGATATCCTTATTCAGGAATGATCAAGGAATGATCTAATGAGGAATGATCAAGTAAAACCTTGTGACAGAACTGTTTTTACTTTGAGTTGCTACTCCAGTAGGAGTAATTAAGTGAGTTCATGAGCCATGCATGCTAAATCCATTATACCTATCACCCCAGACTGTCCTGAATGACTAGTAGTTATGCAATATTTGTCACCCTCCACCTAAGCTAAACATCCCAAAACATACTAGTATATACTCTGCTACCTATAAGTTACAAAATACCATATAGTTTAATCAAGGAAATGAGTGTTCAAGATCAATATTTTATTATTGTGACACATTGCAATGGAATTATAGGTAATTTTTAGGTAATAGTTATAAATATTTAATTTGTAGATTGCAAGATATAGTCTACATTTCCCATCCTCATTCTCAAAGATAATTGAAGCCTGCCTCAGAGTTCTCCAGTGGACTTCATGTTCAAAATTTTGTATTAAGGAAAATTAACCATTGTTATACTATCTGTACAAACAGAGGAAATAAAAAAGTAGTAATATATGATTGCCAATTTTAGAAAATCTACTGATTTGTAAAATAACATTAGAAAAGTTCATTTAGACCCAATTTATAATGTAATACTTCGAAATATATAAATTAATTTGTATTAAATAAGCCTGAGATTGAATCCTGGCTCTTCTTCCTTACCAGCAATTAGACATTGAGCAAGTTACTTAACCTCTCTGTGCTTCCTTTCACTTGTTAGTATAATAGTTATGATGATGGTACTTACCTCATAAGGTTGCTGTGAAGGCTAAGAATATATGCAATTTCAGGGCCTCCCCTGGTGGCACAGCAGTTGAGCGCTGGGCTGTGGCTGCCCGCAGCCTCTGCAGCGCCAGTTCATTCCCCGGCCGCCGGTGAGGATCCCACAAAAAAAAAAAAAAAAAAAAAAAAGAATATATGCAATTTCAGACTGTTTCATTTAATCTTTCTAGGTTTCATATGTCAAAGGAGAAAAATGTCATCAAAGACCCTACCAGGATGGCCCATGACAGTTGAATGTATTAATCTGTTGGTATTTGAAAGTCCTAGTCACTGCTCATCAGAGCTATTAAACTTCCTTCAGATGTGGATACAAAATTCTATTCTTCCCTTATTTTTTCTTTCTTTTTGTTATCCTAATTAAACTATCTTTATTATTTTTTAAAAGATTTGTTTTTATTTATTTATGCATAGAAAAACTGGTGTGTAGACCAGAGGTGGTGAAGAGGTGAGAGAATTCACCAGAGACAGAGTGGGGAGCAGAACAGGTGAATCTACTGAAATACGTTGCTGAGGGGAGCAGCGGACAAGACAGGAAAGGTCTGCTGCACCGTGTGGATAGCTCCCTGGCTGGAGTTTGAACTCAAACTGCATTGGCTGGTGATAGCTTGATAGCACTGAGACTTTAACCCCTATGCCACCAGGGAGGCCCCCCCTTAAACTATTTTCATACCCCTCTGGCCAGTTAAGTGTCATAGAACAGACTCCAACAGGGGAATAAAAAAACTCTTATGAAGTTGTAGAGCATTTGTTTTTGTTTTTTTTCTCTTTTTGAAAAATGATAGTCTTCTTCCTCATAAAAGAAAAAGTCATAGATTTTTAATCATGGATAGACAGTTAATCACTGGGACCATTTCTAGTTTCCTTGGAGCTGTGTCAGCTCATCACAGATGGACACTGCTTGCCTGCAGACTTTGCACATCGTGGGATATCATCCCCAAGGCATTGGAACACTGGGAACTTGGGGACTGCGCAGCCCCGTGCTAAACGCTTACATAATGTTGCTTCTCATTCTCAGCAACCCTGTAAGGTAGATTATTCAGATTTTAAACATTCATTGGGTGAAGTGCTTGCTCAATACCACAGGGGTAAACAGGTGACAAAAGTAGGTTTTAAAACCACACCTGATGTGAAACGATTCTCCAGAATCCTAGAGCCACAGTGACAGAATATCGGGGCAGGGAGTGGAGGCTCTGGGCCCAGAATCCTCACTTCAGAAAGTATTAATATATGGGTTTTCTGATTTGGATCCCTTAACGGGTCCTGCAAAAAGGAGGGGATTAGAAAAAAAATTGCAAAACTCAACTTTGTACATTTGAGGTACAACTACAACACCAAAGTATTTCCATTATACCATCTCTCCCAGAAGAGAATATTTGACATTATAGAATGTTTCAGGTAGTTAGTAAATATGTTTATATTTATTTTAAAAGATGTATTTCTCTCTCAACAGAATATCAACCATTATGGGTTGACTGGTGGGAAGAGTGTGAGAATAAAGTCTTCCTTAGGATTTCACAAATATTAGAGAAATTCTTACAGTTGAAATGATAAAATAATTAGATTCATTAATGCTTCTCTGTAACCTAATGTAGACAGTGCTTTTTTAAAAATGTCAAGAATTTTAAAGCAAAGCTATTAAAGGTTGTTACGGTTGTTTTTTCAGCAGTCAAAAATATACTTTTCTTTCTAAAATGATCAGGGAGATGAAGAAGCAAATCTTGGTCTACCCATCAGTCCCTTCATGGATCGTTCTTCTCCTCAACTGGCAAAACTCCAAGAATCGTTTATCACCCACATAGTGGGACCCCTGTGTAACTCCTATGATGCTGCTGGTTTGCTACCTGGGCAGTGGATAGAGGCAGAAGAGGATGATGATACTGAAAGTTGTTTCGATGAAGAAGATGGTGAAGAGTTAGATACAGATGAAGAAATAGAAGATAACCTAAGTCCTAGTAAGAATATAGGGAAACCATGATTTCTTTAATGTTGTTAAGGTTCATTTAATGTGGATTTGGATCTTTTATATCTAAAGGTATTCAGTGGTCATACCTTGAGTAAAGTAACTATTCTAAATAGCACCATGCTAATGCCATCACACAAGCGTTCTTAGTTAAAGCAGCATCTTTACCTGTGCATGCATGATGAAAAGCAGTCAGCACCTCTGAATGTATATGAGGCAGGAGAGTCCTAGTGGCTAGACTTCACCTCACCTCTCCTCACACCACCCTCTCACCGACCCACCAGATAGCCGAAGAGCACGTCTTCTGAAGCCGTAGCCTGATAATCTGCCCTTCACCTACATTTAGGCAAAAGGTCAATATAAGTGGGAAGGAGGAAAATACACACTGACCCTAAGAGGAGAACCAAGTTTTGTGGCATTATGAATTTGAATTACCCAATTGTAAGGACACTTTTCTATATAAGGCAGTAAGTATAAGGGAAAGAAAAACTTTTGTCACCTTTGTAAGTGTAAATTGAATCAGTTATTTACTCTTTTAAATAGAATTTAAATTACATCTAATTTTTTGTTTTGTTTTGTTTTCCAAGCTTGCTGTAAATCAGAGCAGATAACTTACCAAAAACCTACCCCTTTCCTACCATGCTGTGTTCAGGATTAGCAGAGTGAAGAGTAATCTTAGGTGGCTGCCATCAGAGTGTCAATTTAGGAAAGTTGACTGGCTTCTAAAAATTATTTATGGTCACTAGACTGTTGACAATTGCGATGAATTCAATACATTAAAAATATTTGTTTTTAACTGTGCATTATTAATCATTTGACATTTCAATACTATCCTCCCCTCTCTTCCACTCTCAGTATTTCACCCTAATCCCCTTCTCTGCTTTATTTTCACCCGTAATAGTGAACACCATCTAGCATACTTACGTTTCATTTTTGTATTTGATTGCCTAGGTCTCTCCCACTGGAACGTGAGCTCCATACTGCAGGAATTATTTTTATCTTACTGTTTACTACTATAACCCCAGTGCTCAGAATCGTGCTTGGGATATACTAGGCACTTAGATACTTGTTGAGTGAATGAATAAATAAATGAATCATATTACAATGATTGGAATATATTTGTTTTACATTTCACAGAACCACAAAGGAGGAAAAGTAGACGGCGAATATTTTGTCAGCTAATGCATCACCTCACAGAAAACCACAAGATATGGAAGGAGATCATAGAAGAAGAAGAAAAATGTAAAACTGACGGGACTAAACTGCAGGTGGAAAATTCTTCCTTACCTCAGGCAGATGAGATTCAGGTCATTGAAGAAGCCGATGAAGAGGAAGAGAGACAGTCGGAATAGAGGACAGGGCGGGCTGGAGAAGCCCCAGGGCGGAACTTAGCGTCAGAAACCCTCGCCTAGTGTTCACCGCTCGACGTTCAGCTGACCATTCCTATATGGCCGAGCCTTAATGCTGGGAGAGGATCCTCGCTGTGCTGGCCTTTCCCCTACTACTGTGCACTTTCACCACATGGACTCGAAGATTATTTGTAGAACTTGACTTCAGTTGACTCACGTTGAAAAGCCCTCACTTACTGCCGTCACTGGTGTATACATACTTTGTCACGATACCGCTTTGCTGGGTAGTAAGCTTTTCAGGAGGGGTAGCCATAGCTGAAAGCTCAAGTGACTGACTTCAGATTCCAGAGTGGCCAAAACTTTTTGTTTTCATGAAACAGATTCATATTGTATATTTCCAAATGTGTCTTTTGTCTTTGAATGTCTGTGGGGGGAAAAAAATAAGTCTGTGCCTATCTCAAAAGGAATCCAGTGTTGCCTTTCTGAGGGATCTGTTCAATGCAATACACTGTTTAGTGCTGTCCTCCCAGGTGGGTTTATCCATGAAGGACTGAGTGACCTTTGTTATATTTAACAAAATCCAGGTGCATCAATTTCTGATGCTTTTTACTGTTATGTATTATCTACTATGTTGTGTTTGATTTCTTTTCAGAGTATTCAGGTTTGTCATGGATATCAGAAGTCTGAATTCCAGCCTTACTGACTTTATATTTTATGGTTGAATTTTAAACTGTTTGGGTTTAACAATGAAGGGTTTCACTCTTTAGTCAAAACTTCTTATTTTTACTCTTGCTCAGGATTAGTATTTTTAACCTTAGTTTAATACAAACACAGCATAGATTTGTCATAGATTTGTCAGAAGAAAAATTTTTGTCCTAATATTGATGTTGACCTCTTAAGAAATGAACATTATTTTCTCTCTTCCTAGATAGATTTGGGATTCATTAAAGCCAAAGGAAAGGAGATACCTGTCTTTTGCCTTAACGCAAAATCAAATAAAACTAATCCTATTAAGATAAAGAATAAAAAAAAGTGTGAGCTCTAAAGGACACATGCATTGAATAAATAATTGGAATGTGTGCTTATCTTTAGATCCTTATCTTAGTTCTCATAGGTAAGTTATTGTAAAACTGATGTTCATCAATCTATTAATTACCTTCTGTCTCAAGCTACATGACAGAAATGACCTATGACTACTTTTTGAGCCCATCTGCAAATCTAATTTCTAAGGCCAAGTAAATAGTGGGAATACTTAATAAATTTTATATAACAAATCTAAATATTTTGGTAAATCATTTCACCCAAAAGCATCTTACTAAATAAACACATTAAGGTAATGCAAAGAAAGTTGATCATATTTACAATGTCTTTAGGGTTCAGATATGTAACATATTTACAAAAAATATTTGAACTATAAAGAACAGCTAAAATTGAAAATGGTAAGACTGAGTTTCCATTATTGTTGAAATATTTATTATATCTTATATTTTGGATTTGTGCAGCTTTTGTAGACAGTGAAATAAATTTTCAAAGTTACTCCTTTAAAGTATGATGTCAGCAGGTACTTTCTTACCTGTCAGCAACTTCTTACCTACCTAAAGAATTTGGCTTATCTGAAACATATCAATTACAGATCTATTCAAGTATTAGAAGTTTTGATCCTGCATAATATTTAATGAATCACCAAGTTTTATTTATTAGACAATGTTAAATGCTGATTTCCTTCCTGCTTTTGCTACTATTGCCACATCATTTGTAAACTGGTCCCACATGACTAATAAAATTTTAACTAATTTATTTAGTCTGCACAAATAATGCGTATATCCTGTGCTTCTATTTCTCTAGGTCACTATTTGCATCCTGTATAAGTACTCAGCTATTGCTTTCTCTCCTGCAAAATACAAATAGGTATAGGTGTATAAATTCACATATGTATGTGTATGCATCAAATTTCCATACTTTTATTAAAGTTTTGTATTGGGGTTATTTAGTGTGTATTTTCTCAAAAGGAGCATGCTTTAATTCCATTAAAGATACTATTACTTAGAACTCATTTTAAAATAACCCTTCAATTATTTAAGCTTTACTAAATAATTGACATACAGTAAAATATCCCAAACACTAAAGTATCCTTGCTGAAACTTAAATTCATAAATTGTAAGAAAGGAGCATGAGGACACATTAAGTATATATAAATGCTATTAGATGGAATCTTATGCACACTGCTGTAAACCAGATTGTTTTTGGTTATTATTAAGTAATATTTTATTATAATAATTTTCATCATGAATTTGCTGTTTTAAGTCATTACCCTTAAATACATTGTAGGACTAAATGATTATTTCTGCCATTGCTTAGTCAGAAATTTACCCTCTTCCTAGATTGCATCAACTCAGATGCATCATCTTATACAAACTTCATACACACACAAAAAAATGGACAGTGCTCACTCTGGTTTCTTTAGTTTCCAGACTAATCTGATTGGCTCTAGAGGGTGTTCGAGAGAGCAATTGGCATATAGAGCAAGGAGGAACAGCTTAGAGGCAGGTGACTTTTATGCTGAGAACTGAAGGATTACAAGATAGCTCGGAGATGACTGCCTGGGGAGGGAGAAGATCAGTATGTGTAGAGACCAGGGGAAGAGATAGATGCCACAGTCTCCACACTGAAGGAGCCAACCGAGATTAGTAGTGACTGGAACAGAGAACAGGAGGAAGTGGTAGAGAATGGTGAGAGTGAAGGATTTGCAAAGAAAGTATCACATGGGCCTCCCTAAGTGGTGCAGGTGGTTGAGTGCAGCCCTGTGAAACTGTACACAGCCTCTGCAGTGCGGGTTCTATCCCCAGCCAGGGAGCTACCCACATGGCTCAGCAGACCTCTCCGGTCTCACCTGATGCTCCCCTCAGCAGTGTATTTCGGTTAGTCTGCCTGTTCTGCTCCCTGCTCTGTCTCTGGCGAATCCTCTCACCCTCCCACATATCTAGCCTGTACCCCAGTTCTTGTATGCATAAATAAATAAATCTTAAAAAAAAAGCATCACATGCCACTTAATTTTTATTCCTAAAGGAAATGGGGAACAATTGAATTTTAATCCAGAAGCAATGTTCACATTTTAAGAGGATCATACAAATAACATACTATGTGCTCACTTTAGGTAGCACAAATTGGAATGATGCAGAGAGGTTAGCATGTCCCCTGCGTAAGGAGAACATGCAAATTCATAAAGCATCCCATCTCTTCTGGATGGAAATGGAGATTATGCTAAGCAAAATAGATCAAAATCAGAAAGACAAATACTGGATGATTTTACTCATGTGGCATATAAAGAAATATAAGCAAAGTACATAAACAAAACAGACCAAAAAAATCCAAAACAAATCCTTGAACTCTGACTGCAGAACTGAGGCTGCCAGAAAGGGTGGAAATGTCAATGGACTATGGTAGAGGATTATTGGTGCCTTGGTGGTGGGTGTAGTGTGATATGTGTTGCAGAGGCGTGACCCTGTGCTGTGACACATATAGTATTGTAAACCAATAGTATCTCAACAAACATAATTTTTAAAAAGTAGTATGTTAAATGGAAATTAGGCATAGTAAGACCTCAGGGCAAATAGCTACTGACATACTGATTGGTAGGTCTGTTTCACTATCTTATGTCACCGTGGTATCACCATGTGACCCATCTGACTTCTCTAAAATTTTCTAAATGCTTTCTAAAATATTCAAGCACATACAGGTACCTGATGATCCATGTGTTGGAAGGGTGGGTGCATTCATACATGGGAAGCAAAGGCAGTCGGTGTCAAACAATGATTTAATGTTTCATGGGATAGCCATGTTAACAGAACAATCCATTTCTGACTGTCTCCTGCAGGCAGAGAAAGGGCATTCAGATACCTCCATGCCCCAGCGCCCCGCAGGCAGAGCAGGTCCCCTGGAGGTCCCCCACTGCGGGGTGGGGGGGTGGGGAACCTTCTGCGATCCTGGTGGCTGAGGGATGGCTCGCTGAAGGGCAGGAGTCCCTTGCTCATTTCCACCCAGGGGTGCTGCTTGAGGGTCTCTAGAGTGCTGCGTCTCTGGGGGTCCAGTGCCAGCATTTTGCTGAGCAGGTCACGGCACTGGACCGAGAGGTAGAAGGGCGGGTACAGGAGCCCGCCCAGGACGTGCTGCCTGATCTCCGCGACGCTGGTCCCCCTGAAGGGCAGTGTCCCGGTGACCATCTGGTCGAGCATGACGCCCAGGCACCACACGTCCACCCTGGGGCCGATGTACCACTGGTGGAGCGAGAGCTCCGGGGCCCTGTTCAGTGTGTCGTTGAAGCACCGCATGCTGAGCCCGAAGCCCACCAGCTTTATGTGCTGCTCTCGGTCCAGCAGAATGTTCTCCGGCTTCGCATTCCGGTGGGCGATGCCTTGGGCATGGCAGTAGCTGAGGGCCGAGAGGATCTGCCTAAATATCTGGCAGGCCTCGCTCTCAGGGAGGCGCTCCCGCTAGCTCAGGTAGGCCTGCAGGTCGCCCCTCTCCGTACTTCATCACGAGCTGCAGCTCCTCCCTGGTGTCCACCACCTGGAATAATAGCTCGATGGTGTTCGGGTGGTGAAGCGCCTGCAGTCACCCCACCTCATGAGCCAGGAGCCGGAGGTCGTGCAGCTTGGCCTTCGGGATGGTTTTGATGGCCACCTCCGTGCCCGTGATCGCAAGCAGCGCCAGCCTCACCTTGGCGTGGGTGCCTCCCGCAGCGTCCCGAGCGCCAGGTAGGATTTTACTGGACGTCCCTGGGAAGTGCGACGCTCAAGCATAGCGAGTATGGATTTGGACTGTGCTGACTACACTCACAGCCCTGACTGTGCTCACAGCCCTTGCTACCTTGCTAACAACTAACTCTCCTACGATATTAACAAATGTACTATTAATCTAATTTTAATAGTACTCAAAAAGTATTCACTAAGCTCACTAAATACTAGCAGTGCTAACTTAACTCTACCAGCAATACTAACTTCACTAACCTTACTAGTAATACTAATACTGAGTAACTACACAAAAAATAAATGAAAATACACAAACAAAAAATTAGAAATGAGATAAAAATGTAAAAATATGATAAAAACAAACCAGTCACAAACTAACCACTAAATATAAGAATAAAACATACAACAACAAATAGAACAAACAACAGAACAAACAACTAGAAACTAAAAACTAAAAAAAAAAAAAAAAAAAAAAACAACAAAGGGGAAAAAAGAAACAATGAAACAACAACAGTAGGGAAAATGGGGGAGTGCACACAAAAAAGAAAAATCAAAAAACTAAAAACTGAAATAAAAAAATTAAAAGAATAAGAAAAAAACAAAAATTAAAAAATATAAGCAAATAATAAAACAATAAAGGAAAATAAAAAACAAAGAAATAAAAAGAAAAATAGAAAAAATATAAGCAAATAAAAAAACAATAAAGGAAAATAAGGAAAAAAACAACAAAATGAAAATAAAATAAATAGCTAAAACAAATAACTAAATAAGTAAAAAAATAAATAAACCAAAAGAAAACCAAATACACTAAAACACGATCTCTCTCTCTCTGTCCGAGTCCACAGGTCACTATCCCAAAGCTTTCTGGCTCCTAAGGACATAGCAGCAGTCCGGGCAGGGCTTATATAGGCTCTGCGGGTGCCATCACAGTGGCTCTTTATGAAGTCAGAGGCAGAGGCCACAGCCATGGGCAGAGAGAAACCCCAGTGATTTTTCAGCTTTAAAAAAAAAGCTCCTGCCAAGAGGTGTGTTTATAGGACTTACTAGAGATTGACAATACCTAGGATAGACTGTAAAGCAATAGGAAAGAGAATGGACTCCATATTTAAGAGACTCAATTTGTACTAGAGAATAACTGGGTATGGTGGAGAGAAAGAGATGATGGTGACTTTCAGATTTTTGACTTATACAACCGTCAGTATCATTTACTGAGACAGGGTGTACCAGAGAAGAAGGAGATTTTGTATGTGGATGGAGAGTGAGGGGTGTATATATATCTCACCTTAAATGCCATTGATCTTCTCTCTGAAGGGCCCTGACCAATAAAAAGCACCAAATACAAGGAACAATCATAAGTGAGAACAGCAGAAATATATAGACTCTGCACTGCATTTTCAAAAACAATATAACTAGGTATGAAATATTTAAGGAGATATGGAGTGGCAAAAAGTGAGCAAGCAGTAAGAAATAATAAAACATCACCAGGAAGGAATAACTATAAGGCTGATAATAAACTTATTATCAACAATGGAAGCCAGAAGATACTACATTATTTTTTAAGTTTTGAGAGGAAAAAACTGTCCACTTACAGTTAATCAGTACAACTATGGAAAATGAGGGTAAAATACATTTTTAGATAAACAGTGAGCTGCTCCCATCAGTAAATGTATCTTAACAGAATTGTTAATGCAGTGCTTCTAAAGTTTGCTTATAATGTGCATATAAATAATTTGGTGATCTGGTTAAAATGCATATTGTGTTTACTAGGTCTTGAGTAGGTTGCAAGAGTCTAGTTCTTAAAAAGTAGGTCCCTTAAGGGTGAGACTTTCTTAACAGCTCTCAGGTGGCATAATACTGATAGTGACCTGTTAACCATTCTTAAAAATATTAACAGAGTAATTAAGCTACTTAGGGGCCTTGTATCATTTAGGAAAAATATTACAATACTGACGTTAGTAAAAATAAATATGAAAATAAATATGCTTTTAAAATGGGCAGGGAATCTGAACAGACTTTTTTTTCCAAAGGCATATAGATGGTTAATAGGTACATGAAAAGGTGCTTAGCATGACTAATCAACTGGGAATAAACCACAATGAGGTATTATTTCACACATGTTAGAATGAATGTCTGTTATCAAAAACACAAGAAATAAGTTTTAACAAGGACATAGAGAAAAGAGAACCTATGTTTACTGTTGGTAGGAATGTAAACTAGTACGGGCCACTGTGGAAAATATGAAGGTTCCTCAAAAACTTAAATATTAATTACCATATGACCCAGCAATTCCATTTCTGGGCATTTATTTGAAGACAGCAACACCAACTCAAAAAGATATGTATATTCCTATGTTCACTGCAGCATTATTCTCAATAGCCAAAGCATGGAAACAAACTGTCATTTGCTAGATGCATTGATAAATAAAACACAGTATCTGCAGCCAATGGAATACTGTTCAGACATTTTAAAAAAAAGGAAACCTATGCCAACTTAAGTCAGAGAAAGACAAAAACTGTATGGCCTCCCTGGTGGCCTAGAAATTAAGTATCATTGTAACAGGGTGGTCCCCAGGAAAGGGGGAGGTTCCACGTTCCCTGCCCCACCCAAGGAAGGGTGGAGCTGAGCAGGAGGAGAAGCTGCAGAAGAGACTGAGGAAGGAAGCAGGATGGAGCCAGGAGACCTGGAGGAGGCGCATGGAGCCTAGAGACACGTGAAGAAACTGCGCTTGTCTTTTGGTCGTGGACTGGGTGACACAGATGTGGGTGAGACCCGTGGGGAGGTGACAATGGCAGTTTTTATCTTGATGTTGATTTGCTCTTTTCCTTCCGGGCTTGTCTGGTTATTTCTGACCCTTTGCTGTGGGTCCCCACTGGAAGATGCTTTAGACTTGTAGCAGGCTTTGGGGCCTTGCTCTGGGCCAATCCCATATGGATGGACTTTTACCCACGAGGGGACGGGTAACTTTGGGTGCTTCATTTAGAAACTAGACTCTTTGCCTTATCTGTATTGTTTCCTAGTTGTATTAAAGTTCCTTCCCATTAAAGTCTCCTATGTTTTGTGTTGATGCAGCGGATGGCAGAACCCATGTAGAATAGGCAGGTTCGCGGGGTTTGGGCTGCCCCTCTCCATGTCCTATAACATCATCACTACAGCCTGAGTTCAATCCCCGGCCAGGGACCTAACCCACATATGGTGCAGCAGAACTCTCCTGTCTCAACCACTGCTCCCCTTAGCACTGTATTTCAGCACACCTACCTGTTGTGATCCCCACTCTGTCTCTGATGTATTCTCTTCCCCCTCTCTTCTCTACCCCCCCCAACTCTGGCCTACACCCCAGTTCTTCTATGCATAAATAAATAAATAAGTCTTTTAAAAAAAAAACTGACCTGGCTAGCACCTGACCTAAGGCTTCCAAGGGCCTGAACTGTGAAAAACAAGCTTCTGTTGTGTATTTTATGTACACATACATAGGTATATTTTATGTACACATACAAAGGTATATTTGCTATACAGATGTACATATTTATTTTTATATATGATACAGAACATAGGAAAAACAGAATAAGAAAATAAGGACATATAAGACAAAACAAAAATCTCAACAAACACAAGCTACAACAAAACTAAGACAAAACTGGTGTAATTGTTTAAGGGGAAAAAAGTTCAAATATTAGTATTAGGAATGAGAAAGGTATAGATTAGGATGACAAAAGCTGCTTAACAATTTTATTCTAATAAACTCAAAAACTTAGACAAAGGGAAAACTCCCAGAAAAACATAAATTACCAAAAATCAATCAAAAAGTTAGAAAACCAAAGTAAGATTATAAACAGTAAAGAAATTATATCGGTTAAAAATCTTCCCATAAAAAAATCCAACCAGGTCAAGATGCTCTTACTAGAAAATTATACAAACTCAAGGAACTGAATATATCCATTTTATACAAAATATTCCTGCTTATATACAAGGATGGAATACCATCTGACCCAATCTACAAGCTGTTATTTTGATATTGAACCTGAGTATAAGAAAAAATTACAGACCAATCTCATTCCTAACTGTAGGGTAAGGTTAAAAAGTGTCAGGCTTTTCTGCCCTCCCACCATCAGGATAGATGATGGAATCCTGCGGTCCTGAATGCATGCCTGATGGCGGGCACCTGGAGTAGGGTGTGGGCATAGGTAGATGAGATTCACCTGGGCTGAGACTGGGCTTTTAGGGGCGGCGTCACGAGGACGCCAGCAGAAGCAGAGAAGCAGAAGAGAAGGAACAGGAGAGCAGAGAAGCAGAACCGTGAGAGAATGCTGGAGAACCCAGAGTGAAGACTTGCTGAGGGCTGGGAGGCCTGCCAGCCTCCAGGCCCCCCAGTACCCCTGCCTGCTTGTACCTGGTAAATCCCAATAAAAGCCTGCAAAAGCCACTGAGGACTCTGACTCCTCCTTTACCCGGTCTGCTGGATCAGAAAACCTACTCAGTGCCCCTTCCTGCCCTTACACTAACTCAGATGCAAAATTCCTAGATCAAATCTGCAAGTTAGTTTTATCCAAGGAATGCAAGGGTGAACTACCATTGGAAATTGATGAAAGTAATTAAACATTAGCCAATTAAATGGGGGGGGAAAGGATGATAATATCAGTAGATGTAATAAATGATGTCACCCTTCCATCATTTAAAAAGAAAGAAAACTCGGGCCTCCCCGGTGGCGCAGCGGTTGAGCGCTGGGTTGCGAAACTGCGCGCTGCCTCTGCGGCGCCGGTTCGATCCCCGGCTGCTCCCCGGCCACCGGAGGAGAGTCCCACATGGCGCGCAGGCCTCTCCTGCCGCCCGCTGCTCCCCTCAGCAGTGTACTTCGGTCCCTCTGCCTGCTCTGCTCCCCGCTCTGGCTCTGGTGAATTCTCTCACCCTCCCGTGCTTCTGACTGTACCCAGTGCATGTATAAACAAAAACAAACAAACAAACAAACCAGCAAACAAATAAATAAAGCATGCCTCTATTAAAAAAAAAAAAAAATAAAAAGAAAGAAAACTGGAAGGGAAATGAGGGAGGAAGATAAAGAGGCAAACCTAGAATAAGAAGAATTTTAAGTTTTGGGGTACAAGCAAAAACCAAAGTAGAGTAAAGGTCATTTAATGATGAAACGTTAGAATCGTTTCTTTAAGCAGACAAGAATGCTATCACTTCATTAGCAGTCTGCTGGGGGCTCTCACCAGAGTATTAAGAAAAATAAAAGCCACAGTAATGGTCAAGGAAGAAACAAATCTGTCATTACAGTTGAATATAATAATAGAACATCTCAAGGAATTCCAAGAAAGGATAAAATTAGAGTTAATAGAAAGGCTAGCACTATTGTCCTATACTGTCAGTTTACAATTTTCAACTATATCTTTATAGAATAGCAACAAATTCTGTTCTTACCAATTTTAGTTTGGAAA